ATGTAGAAAGAAGCGTATGAAACGTACAGAAAGAAAAGTATGGGAAAGGGTGATTTAGTTCGGCCTCTATGACAGACGAAAGCCTCTACCCACGATAAGAGCAAAAAATATAGAAGCTCATATTTAAATAACCATAGATAACTTTTCCTCTCTTTCCTCATTCCTCCTCTCTCTGATTAAGTAGAGGCTCCATTTTATTAGTTTCTGCTTTTAACGGAGCTTTGCTTTGTCAATTCTATCGGAAATTTAGCGAATAACAAAAACGAGAGCGAGCATTTGCATATTCAGTTGCTATAGTTATTCTTCCTTTAGATCTGATAAGCTTTTACGTCTAGACTTGGAAATAGTTATATAGAAATAGCTAGGCCATAAAACTATGTAATCCACGTTGTGGCATACAGAAGGGGGTATTTCCTCCAACTCATTTCCCCCCAACCACCCATAATGATAAGGGAACCGATGCGTAGAGCGATGTGTCATGTTGCTTCTTTGAACACCCTAGAAGGGGGTAGTATGAATTTTCTTAGAAGTTGGGAACGTATAGAACAGAGTACATATTTCCTTCTTATATTATTGATCAAATATATATCAAAAGTAACGTATAATCTAATCCGGGCTCTCTTTCGCTCTGCAACGAATGTGCCCTGCGATTTTTGGGTCTCCTCTCTAAGGTTGGTTCTCTTGATCTATTTCATGTTTCCTTTTTGTTTTTGCTGATTTTTAATTATTTTGATTATCGCTGCTTATGCAATTTCGCAGCCTTTCTGACAATGTCAGGTGCAGAAAATGATTGTATTTTTGTTTATTTAACAACATTAGCGAATTATGTCAGAAGCAAAGTTCCCGCTCTCTCTCTTTTTCTCTCTGCCTTCCCCTGTCTTTTTGCTCTCATCTGTTTCTCTCACTCTCTGGCTATGGGTTTGGGGCCAGGCATGATATCATGTAAGCAAAGCTTACTCATTCAAACGCGCCAAAAACGCAAAATAAATGCCAGATTGCGTTAGAACTGAATGTTGGGGGTGGGGTTTTTGTGGGAAAAAAGGCGAAGGAGGACAAAGGTGGTGTTTCTACCATGATGTCACCTTTACCGTTTTCTAAATGCTTGAAAAACATTTTCTATTACGTTCTAAACCGGGTTCTGGAATGTGTTTGATCAAATCCAATCATATTGCACATGGCACTGGCACTGGCACTCTTGACTTGAATGGAAGATAAAAGTTCCATAACAAGCAGTTCCGTTTTTACGAGTATCAACAGTACATTGAACTGCCGGCTATGCTACGTTTTGAGTGCATATGCACATATTTAATTTATTGATTAAAGCTGAGGGAAGTTGCCACGACGCTCTCCACCATATCGCCATAGCTGGTCACGCTTCGGATCCATGATTCATATTAAATCGCAAACCAGTACAACGCAGAACGTAAGGCAATGTTGAAGAGGCTCCAAGTTCGAGGTTTACGTTGACACGTTGCTGACATATTTCTCTGCCTCTGCCTCTGCCTCTGTCGCTGCCTTCGATGCGCCCGCATTCGCCTTTTGTTGTTGCTATTGTTAATGCGCGCTATCTTTTACTTTCAATGCGGATCGTCGCTCTCTGCCTGTCTGGAGGAGCTTTGCTGTGCGCTGTCTCTCTCTGCCATTCCAGAAAACAGGTTTGCCGCCTACGTTGCGCTCTCTCTCTCTCTCTGCATACGCCGTCTCTCTCTCTCTGCCTGGCTAATTGGGGGCTTGCTTGTTGGTTTGTTTTCTGCTCCAACTTCTTCCAGTTCTTTAACGGAGCTCGTGTCAGACGGTCGGCAGCATCGTCGTGTACGTGTGCTATTGTGTGCCTGTTCGTGTGTGAAGTTTACACCAACTAAGTGTTTTTTTTAGCTATAATTAAAGCTAGACACGCGAAAAACCGAAACCCAAACCCCAATCTTTGTATACATTTTGGCGCCAGGCGTTCGTAACTGTAACAGAGGAAAATGGCAGGCGGCAGCAAGCGCTACTCACGCAACAATTCCAACGGCAACTTCCAGTCGCTGCCCGAGCGCGGACCAGGTAATAAGAGTTCCCTCCTATCCTCCCCAGCAGAGACACCTTATCATGCACCTTGTGTTTGGTCTGTTCCACGTTGTCCACTTTTGGCACACGAAACAACTACAACAACGATCAGGGGAGGGTCTTATCTGCGCGAGGCGCTGATTGAAATATTTATTGAGGCGCTGAGATTGCTGGCTACGTCAGCAGCAGCATGCGACAGCGCAGTCGCCAACGTGGCTAAACAAAAAAAACTGAAAGGAAATACGAATAAAACATGAATGAAAGGCCAACTTAAGAGACCGAATTACTAGTTACCCTTGCAGATTGATCGTTTCTACGGCAGCTGCAGATAAGATATATGTAAATAGTTCGATCGTTTCCAACTTATATAGTGCTTGCAGTAAAATAAATTGACGATAAATAGCACTCGCTCTGATCAAAAGTTCAGCTCCAGTCCAAAATTTTTACATAATTTATTTGCCAGCGCAAATATTTTATATATTTTGTTGCTGTAGTTTTTTTGTCAGCCACGTTGTGCACTTCAACCAAAAACGTACTCATCATCAAAATAAATTAATCAAAGCTTGCTATTTTCAATATGTGGACATATGCCTGCCATATATTGTAGTATCCAAATTATGGCTTTTCCAATGCTATCAGACTTGGAGAGTCTTATCTTGTCCTATACCCTGCAATAGTAAAGCATAGGGGTATGTACGTTTAGGTGTGCATAAGCAAAGGATACGATCATACGATCCGTTTAAGCACCTGGATCTGGAAGATCGCAAACGGTACATGAAATTGGTTCTCTCTTTTGCTTACTTCAAAATCGAACTATGGTTAATGTCTATCCAACTAGAAAAAATTAACTCCAACGTATGTTTTATTCAAGGATAAATACATATGTTTTCCGATTTCCACTCATGTTCTAATTATATAAAAAAAATTATCTGTTTAGTGAGTATTCGACAGTCGAATTATAGACGCTATAGACGTCCCAACTTGTTTTTTTATATCCATATAAAAGATGAGGAACTCCTGCTGTGACTGCATCATCATGGTCGTGGGCCGCAGCACTTCACTTTCGGCGTAAACCCGTTTGAAGGCGACCTAAACCAGTTCTCTGGGGCTTCGATCTCTTTGTAACTGAAAATCTTTGTTGCAATTGTAACGAACTTTTTTTTTATTCAATTGATAGCAGAACGGAGTTAAAGAGGAAAAACTTTCTCCCATGTGTGAGAGAGCTTTCTTAGAGAGCTTAACCCAATTTAAGGTCTACATGTGGTTGATAGGTATTTTGCTGCCATCTCATCATTGTCTCCTTTCTAATTTATTTCCATCATATTTGCATAATCAATTCTAGATCTTGTCTAGCCTGACAACCCAAAAACTAACCCGAGCCTAAAACTAGTTTTGTCAACTATGGTTTTACTTATTTACTTGGCTGTAGCCTATACAGATATTTATTAATATTGGATTTAAGCTAGGGAGCTATCTGGCTGTCTGGCATTTCCAAAAATTCGAATGAGATCTATTAAAACCAAGTGGGCATTTCAAGAAAAGTATTATTTCCGAGATTTTGAACATTAATATAATGATACTATTTACGTACTACTACTATCTATGTATACTCCAGAATCGCAAAGGAATATAACAGAAAAAAATAAACAAAAAACAAATTTAAAATGCTGAATTCTATTTGATCCTAAGGCGCTAAGTTTATGGGATTGTGGTTGACAGAACCTATCTATACCTTACCATATATCTTCTCTGACAAGGAAAAAACTGTACAACTATTCCAATACAAAAAATAACAGTAATATTTCCAGCGAGGTGAAATTTTTGAACATGCAATTTCAATGAAATCCATTAATAAATTCTATCGACTTATGTATGTGTATTTATTGAAAAAATTTTTTAATGGGACATCTTAATTGGTTTTAGTTCATACGGCGATAAAACAAAATAACTAAACCAACATTAACAATGAAATCGAATGGAAAAGATACACAAAATACAGCATGGGATCCATGAGATAAAATCGATTCTTAAATGTTTCATTTCATTTCCGTTCCACACACTCTCCTCTTTCTCCCACTCTTCGTATACACGCTCTCTTTTTGGCTGTCTGCTTGTGCTCTTTCTCTTTTGTGTTTTCCTGCTGGGTCCGGACAATTTTCTTCTTCTTGGAGGGAATCGGCCAAATAATATTTCTCTAGTGTTCAAAACTTGGCAACGAATGTCCAACGCGCACCGCGAACGATCCGCAGAAAAAACCCAAAGAATCAACGAAAACGAAATGTCGAAGAAATTTTGTGAGTGAACCAGGAAGAGGGTTGGCAGAGGGAGAGGATGCGCAGGGTGTGCAGTGGGTGGAGGGAAGGGAGCTTAGTTGCATGTTGTCGAGCAAATACTAACAATAATTACCACCTAGACAGTTGGGGGCCCCGAGAGGTGTGCTAAAAGTGCAAAAGAATCGTCTATTTACGAGTGTCTCAGAGATTGCATAATTGCCGAAATGATATAGAATGAAAATGCGTGTGTGTGTTCGTGTGTATCTGTTCGTGTGTCTGTGTATTTTAGAATGTACCATCCACTTTATCGCACATTTTTTTATACAATATTGAATGGGAGAATGGGAGAATGGGAAAAGAACCAGATAATAATTTAGAAAATATTTTTAATACAGTCCATTCGGCGGACCTGTCTACCTAAAAAGGTTGGTCCCAGAAAGTAAATACATAGCATGTGGACTAAGAAGATGTCTGTCGAAGGGAGACGACAAACAATGGGGAGTTATATCTTATGCCCACATCTGTTGCTATAGTTCGGCTACCGATCCTTAGATCCAAACGAAAATATGCCAAAATTTGTAACCTGTAGATCCTAAGTATATTAAACGAAGAATTTTTCCCTAACAAACGCATAAACGACTGAAACTAACAAGTTTTCAATTTTCTGTACATTTACAGTGGAATCCCTTATCTACTGGCGCGATGTGAAAAAATCCGGCATTGTGTTCGGCGCCGGCCTGATCACATTGGTGGCCATCTCCAGCTTCTCCGTGATCAGCGTGTTTGCGTACTTATCGCTTCTGGCCCTCTTCGGCACCGTCGCCTTCAGAATCTATAAATCGGTGACACAGGCCGTACAAAAGACCAGCGATGGACATCCTTTCAAGTGAGTAGAGACTGCCTGTGAGTGGACTGTCACTTACTTATGGTATTATTGATTTTTGAAGGGAATACCTCGAGCTGGACCTAACGCTGTCGCAGGAGAAGGTACAGAACATTGCCGGCGTTGCTGTGGCACATATCAATGGCTTCACCGCTGAGCTGAGGCGTCTGTTTCTAGTTGAGGATTTAATCGATTCGATCAAGTTTGGCGTCATCCTGTGGGTCTTCACCTACATTGGTGCCTGGTTCAATGGCATGACTCTGGTCATCTTGGGTAGGTTCATCCTCAAGAATTTGGTATCTGAGAGTTTACTAACTAGTTACTTTTCCTTCATTTGTGTAGCCTTTGTCTCGCTGTTTACCTTGCCCAAGGTCTACGAGAACAACAAACAATCGATCGACACCTACTTGGACCTGGTGCGCAGCAAATTGACAGAGATCACCGATAAGTGAGTGTGGAATAAGTCGACAGAAATAGTAGAAAATTAAACAAAAAATATCTTTTCTTTCTGTAGGATCCGAGTGGCCATCCCAATTGGCAACAAAAAGCCCGTGGCTGCTGCCGAGTCGGACAAGGACAAGTAAAAAAAACCGCACTAGCAACACCCACAGCAGCAGGAGCAGCAACAGCAGCATGTTTATTTATTTATTAAGCATTATTTGAATGGTTTTAATATTCATCCAGGCATAAATAAATAACAAAGCTATCAGCAACGTTTACATATTAATTGTATAATTGCAATCTACATCAATCGATAATTGTAAATCAAAGTTAGAGCAACCCAAACAACTTATCAACCAGCAACAGAAACAGTAACTAGTAGAAGTTTCATACATTGTCCAAGTGTCTTTAAGTTTTTAACGAACGAAAAAAAAAACAAATGAGAGTGAAACGTGGAGGAATGTGAAAACAACAAAAAAATATATACATATAGACGCAGCAATGCAATTATCAGTTTTCTGAGTTTCAGTAATTTCCAAATCAATTCGATTTTTTTAGTTGATCCTTTTTTTTAAAACAAATTTTTGCTTTAGTTATAATTTGACCATTTTTGTTGATTTTTTGTATAAAACCAACAAGAAGATCTAAGATTACTCTAAAAATAAAACAAACAAGAAAAAATCAAAATAAAAATGAAGTAAAAAAATCCACAGCTAATGATTTTTGTGTTTTCTAGCATTTTTAATAAAATAATACCTATAAGTAAGTTGATCCGTAAGTCATTAAATACAAAAATTGGCGTCCAACCGCTGCAACACATCTTCGTAATCGTGGCCAAAATGTTGGACAAAGAGAACACGCTTGTCACAGGACTTTAATGAGGAATACGAACATGGAACATCGTTAATCATGACACTCTAAATATTATAATGAACCATTTCGAGCAGCTTTACCGCTTCATTTACATACTCGTACATGGCCTTGTTTCACATTGTACAATTAATTTATAAGCATTTTACATGAAATTAAATCAAATATTTAATGCAAATTTATTTAAGGCTGCGGCCAGTCATTGAAATTGTAGCTTAAATGTTCATTACTTTTATAATTGTTACTCTTTGTTGCTTGATTTTTGAACAAACTTTACGTTTGAATTGCTTATGTCGATGGAAGCCTTCCCACATACTCGTACTAGTAATCGTTTAGATTGAGATATACCCACATAAGTGCATGTGTATCGAAGGTGAAGTTTATCCTTCAACTGTACGTTAGGCGTTCTTTTAAACCAGACTACATATATGTATAACAATAGATATTTTTGCAAATTAATACACTTTAAATATGTATAATTACGAGTATATATAGAAACAAATATACTGAATGTAAGTGGGCATCGTCTGAAAAGAGATTGAAATTTCCAAGTTCAACAACTTTTCGAGGGTTTTTCTTTAGTTTAGTGCAACTTTACATGAATATGTAATCGCAAAAAAACAAACAAACAAATATGTGCCGTAAGTTTGCTATAAATAGAGAATCGAGACAACAACCAGAAAACACGCTCTAAGTCGTATTTAATTCTTTAAAGGAGACAACAGCAACAGCAGTTGGATATGATCGTAAAATTTCAATAAAAATAAACTCTTATAAAATTAACCGATTTGAGGTTTTATTATATGCTTTGTCGTATATTTTAATGTTTTCAGATATGGCATTACATTTAAGCTTCCTGTGTCTTCTCTTATACGCGTTGGTGTTCCTGAAACCTCTCACAATACAAATTCCCAACATTTTCTTTGATGGGTTTTTATACTTATGTATGTTGACAATTTATTTAAAAAAAAAGTTCAATATTTAATTAGTTTAATTAGTCTGTATAGCCAATAGAGCTATAGGAAACATTTCGCTATCCAAAAAAAAAAGAAAACAACTTTTTCGTTTTGGTTTGTCTATAAAGTCCATTTATTCCAATCTCTCAAGGTTAGTTTCGAATTCTAATAAAAATAACATCTTTCGAAGCCCTGATATCCATCGGTGATATTTTTATACCCGTACTCAAAAAGAGTAAAGGGGTATATTAGATGTGTGGTAAAAGTTGATGTGTGTAACGCAGAGAAGGAAACGTATATATATTCTTGATCAGCATCAATAGCCGAGTCGATATAGCCATATCTGTCTGTCTGTCCTGATGAGCGCCTATATCTCAGAGACTATAAGAGCTAGAGCAACCAAATTTTGTTTCCAGAATCATGTGATATCACACTGCTACTCGCCCCGCCCCCTTCTGCCCGCACAAAGGACTGTGGCAGCCACAATTTTATAGATATCAGAAAAGTAAAAGCGTAGTATCGTAGAGAATCAGATGGGATCATTATTATAGCCAGAATGAAGAACTTATTTTCATTTGCCTCCCCCTCCTCCGGGATGCTGACGCTACTTATTCTCTTTCTCGCTCGCACTCACTCTGCCCTGTGCAGTGCGCCATCTTTCGCAGAGAAGATGTAGAATCTACATTATAGATGTATAATGTATGTATAAAAATATAAAATGTAAAACATTTTAAAACTATACATAGATCATAAGCTCACAAATTTATATACTGACTGAGTACGGGTATAAAAGTAGAGTCGCGTCCAAAGAAGCGACTCACACGGTCCTTCTCGTTTTGAGTTGGTCCTGAGCTCACTTTGAATGATGACCTTAAACTTTGAGACCTTTTAGATTGACATCGATCTGATCCGATTCCGACTAATAGTACCCAATAAACAGCATAGATGGAAAACGTTTATATTTGAATATATTTGTAATTTTTAATATGACTTCAATTTCTTGTTTTATTCGCCTAGCTACAGATGAAAACTTTCGTATAATGTATAACAATCAATAATCGCTTTAGTTTAACATTAATCTTTACAAATACAAACACTTTTTAATTTACAATTTGATAAGCAAACACTATATGCATACACCATGTATATAGTTAGTATGTATGTATATGTACATATTGTATAACATCTATGACTTCAATTTGAAATATGAAAACTTTTAATTTAAAATTTGTAAGCGCGCTGCGTTACTGACTTGAGTTATTTTTGATTCATTTAACATGGTACAATTGATTTAAGTTGTTTTTGATTTATGTATATATGTATATGAATGTGGGTAGTATTAGTATACGAGTATATCTATAACAACTTTGATTAGTTTAGTACTGCACTGAGGGGCTAGTATGATTAGCAATTGTAGCAAAAACTATGATCAATTTGATTGGAATGCAATGGGAACGCGAATATAAATTTAAAGAGCTAATGGACGTGCATTTGCATACATAGTTGTGTGCATGAGGTTAGGCGCATGCACATCACATCCGGGGAATACTATTAAGTTCGATATAATAATATATTTGGCCAATTGTCTTGCTAGCACACGATTACAGCAATGCATAGCATACAGTTACTAGAGTTCAGTTTGTTTTGATATGATCATAAATCACAACAATATTTTCTATCCAATATTTATGGAGCTAGCAGTATAGTAATATACAATATCTCGGTTAGGCGCAATATCAATGACACGACCATACATAGTTCGAGTGGCTCGCGTTTCGCTTTGATTATCCTCTTTTAAAATAATTAACAATGGTGCTTCGTTAAAAGGTTGCAGCTTAAAAAGTCGCTACATAATAGATTAACATAAAAAAATTTTCAAAAACTAATGCAGTAATAGTAAACATTAAAACATTCTTTGGAACATAGCAAAAGCTGACTGCAGCTTCAAAACGATAAAATATTGATATATGTATGTATGTAAAAGTATACGTATAGTTTTTTTAATAAGTAAGTATGACGAACGGCAACGTGAAAATTGTCCGTGTTCGGTACGGCTCAGTCTTCTGCAAAACTCAAAATCGAATGGCGATGATGTTGAGGACGTCATGGGGTTTCTCTGACTGTCGGCATACGCTAGCGTTAGGCATTGTTGTTTTCACCGCAGCATTGCATGCAGTCCATGCAGTTGTGCTACCTGTTCCCATCATTCTTTCGGCTCATATTCGATGAGGTCAGCTGTAGCTATAGATACAGAGAGAGAGAGAGAGAGAAAGAGAAGAAAATGCATTAGGCAATATCAAATGCAAATAGAAGGAGGGAAAGAAGGTAGCGTGACAGTTGCGGAAGGGAGTGTGAACAGCTCAAGAAGCGTGCAAGCAAGGCTCAAGCGTGCTGAGAGGTAACTGACCTTTAGTCCTTGCATTATTATTTGTGGTGTTCTTAAGCTTAACGTGTCTCAACTTCACACACAACAACAACATCAACAACAACAGTATATTAATCAGAGGAGGTGTCAAGGAACATACAATGAACGAGTCAACGAGTCAAAGGTGTACAAAGAGAGAGTTAGAGACAGTGTGAATAAGTGAGAGAAGCTAGAGAGACTCTATAGGGTTAAAACTAAAATTACCTGCAAGGATCGTATGGTGTCCAACAACGCTTTCTTCTCTTCTAGCAGTATGCTTATGTCATCTTGGGCGGCCTTCAAATATGAACGCAGCACATCATTTTCCTGCTTGGTCTTTTGTCTGTTAAGGGCGCAATGAATATGTGAGTTAGTTCTCTAAGATGGTCCCAATATCAGTCGTACCTATAGCTTTCTGTGTTGACTTTGGAGTCCACTAGCTGCCTACGCAGCTGATCATTGTCAAGTTTCATCTGCTGCATAACCAGCTGCATGGAGAGCAATTCCCGATCGCGTTCACGAGGCGCCCCAAACAAGGCGCTGCTCAGCGCCTGATGTTGCCCGGCACTCAGATTAGTATCTGCAATTTAAGCAACTATAATATATGAATGATTCATTTTGTTTAACTTAATGTCTTGCCTATGGGCTGAATATTCAGCAGGCCGCTTTGATCACGCTCCAAACGCATGCGTCCGATGCACAGATTAATGGGAACTGGACCCGGTGAAGTAATATTGACTGGTGGACGGTCCTCAAGCAAGTTGATGCGAACATTTTCGAGATTTATCTAAAGCAATACAAGTCAATGCATTTATTATTTAAGAGATGTGGATGGAAGAGCTCACCGTGACGGGCATGGGCGGGCAGATGACCTCATCCTCAGCCAGATCGCCCAATCCAATTACGGTGCTCATCGACAGATCCAAATGTATGTCTTTCACACGAATCTCGGCATGATGAGTGATCCAGCTAAAAATAGTCGTAATCATGTTCATAATACGTTAGGCGATTAAACTGTCAGTGCATCCCACCTCTGGATACGTTTACGATCAATGATGCCTTCGATTTGGTTGGGCATGTTAAGGGTCTCCTCCAGGCGTAGACGTATGCAGGGCGGAGCCTCTGGGTTGTATGGGGCCAGATTCCAGGCCTTACAACGCGCTCCAAATTTGGTCTGTAGTAAAATTTGCCACAAAAATTAAAATAAACTCGATAGGATCTGAGTAGAGTTAGCTTGGGAAAACCTAAGGAACGACATGCAAAGCTACAGGCACACGCATGCAATGGGTGTTTGTCAGTGGTGTTTGTGGTTGTTTCGTGTTATGGCACTGACGAAAAATTTTCTTTTGTTTAGGCAGCGAGTGGGTTTAGTTATCTACTCGTAGTTAGTTTTACTGGTACCATTATTGTTAGTCGTAGATCTGTTGCAATCTGATGCCTTTGTACTTTTTTCACCTATAGTTATTGTTTCTGTTGCATTAACCCGTGTTCCTGTAACCTGTTTGCGCTCTCAATTAACTTCTATGTATATCCGAACAAACCAATTCTGTAGTTGCAAATTATAGACCACCAATAAAGCCAGATAACAAATAAAGAAATTATAAAATAAACTGGATGGGGATACAAGGGATGGATCCATGTGTGTAAGTACTAATTATATGGGAAGAGCTCAGGCTAGCAAACGGTTGGAGATACGAGTAGCTACTCCTCCTGCTCAGCATGCTCAAATTACATTCGAATGAAAACAACATTTCCAAACAAGTTCGTTCAAAAAGAACGCCTTGTACTCCAAGTACTACAAACTTAGAATTCTTGATCAATTCTTCTACTCAACTAGAGCGTTTATCAACAGAGAGCGGTTTCAAAAGACAACTACAATATAACAAAAAAAAAAAAAACAAATCAGCAACCAAGTCATTGAATCGTTAAATCATTGAAAATACAAAAATTAATACAATACTTTTGGGTAAATACTCGTATATACAAAGCGTCAAAACTTAAAATGTAAATTTAGTTAAGTTTAGTTAAGTAAGAAATTTCAATTTGTATATTGTTTATACCTTGTTTGCTTGATGCGCGATCTATTTTTGTAGTTTTGGGAGTGTTGGTTGTTGTAATTGTTGAAAGTCGTGTTGAATGTCATGTAAAGGTTGTCAGAGATAAATTTACAAGTGTGTTCGTTTGATGTTGATTATATAGAGTTGGCACAATAATTGTTTGGTTTTGTTTAGCACACATTGAGATTGATTTCGAGTATATTTAATATTTGTTTTAAGAGAGAAGAGAGATAATATAATAAGAAAATGATTATATGAGATGTTTGTTATCTTACAGAAAGCTGTACATATTTCAAATATTCGTATGGATACATTCCGCCCGCAATTTGAAAATGTCACAACTTTGAAGGTGTTCAATTTTGTAGATGTTCAGATAAAAGATATCGAAACATGCAAAAAGTTAAGAAAGTTTAGCAAAACACTTAATTGAGCAAAATGCTCAAATGAACTGAAAATCGAAAAGAATATTTCTCCTCTTTGGGTATTTACAACCAAACACAAACCAAAATATCAGACAAAACAAAAAACAAATGAAAAACTCCAGCGAAAGCATTGAGAGTTGTGAAGAGGTATACCTGCAGCTCATCCCAAGGTATGGCACCGCACTCGTCGCAGGAAACGGCAGCAACCTGCAAACGAACCGACGATTTTGGTCCTTCCTGCTGCCGTATCAGCTCCACTGTGGTCAATCTGAGGGATAAAACACCAAATTACTTCGAACTTCATAAAAGCACTTGAAAGAGGGGAGCCTGATTTAACCTAAATGTGGCCATGGAGACAAGATCGCGGCGCCGCCAGGTACTGCCCTCCGATGGCTCCGAAGGCGATGACATATTGGTCTTGTAGCTGCTCGGTTCCTCGTACACCTCACTGGCCACCTCCACCGGAGAGGCCTTCATATTGTTGTCGGTGGTGAAGGGATTTAGGCGAAACATGACGTCCATGCAGTCCATGGTCTTGTCGTCGCCCATGACACTGGCAAAGTTCTCCGAATCAGAGCTTAAGTCGCTCTGCGTGGAGAAGGTATCACTGGCATCATCGTTGGGTGTGCCCGACTTGATGGCCGAGTCAATGGAAGTCATAAAACTGGAGAAGCCCTTCTTCATGGACAGCAGGCCCGAGTTGATCTCCTTCGTCAAACTGGGGACGGTGTCTGTGCCTCCACCAGCAGAGCGGCCTGCGGTACTCTTGCCGCTCTTCGACGCGGATGCGGACGAAACGGATTGCGATTGCGTGGAGATGCCCGTATCGGGACGAGATCCCTGACTGGGTGTGGAAGAGGCCAGTGTGGGGGTGCTCTGTATCTGAACATTGTATCTATAAGAATATTTACTTGGAGTTATCTTTGAGAGCCTGGAACACGATTGTCTTACCCATGCGTATTGGGATTAGATGTATGAATGCAGCTGTCAAAAAGGGGCGGATCGTTGGTGACAGGCGATGGCGACTCAACGCTGCCAAATGCATTGCTCTTCAGCTGATCCAACGGCGGTGGTGTGGGCCAGGTGATATTTCCGCCTGGGAATAAGTTAGTTATCCATTTTCACTTTGTTTTCAATTAATTTTCGAATTACAGTTTTACGTTCACTTTACATTATTAGAGATGCACTTGAATTGCCGTTTGGGTTAGTTTAGTACAAAGAAACATGCGAGATATCTATGGGGAGCGTTAACCCGAAGCCAAATGGATTTGGGGAATGTGTAAGCAACCGGACATGGAAAATTTAAAGTACACAAACGCATCCGTATCCATTGTGCTTCAAGTAAACAGCTTCTAGTGTATGTAAGTGTCTAGGAGTCCTAAGTGCCCACTGCCTACATAAATAAAATGAGTAGTTTTAAGCAAAATTACAGCACAAATCGAAAAGAGGGGGAGAGGAGGAACCGCTCCTAGCTAGAAAATTTGAGCTTGCTTGGAGGGCAGGGAGCTAGACGAATTTGGTGACAACTACAAGTGAGTTAGACATAGACTAGACCAGTTTCGTGTGGATTGTGTTAGCAAATGCTCACTTCTGGGCGATGTGCATCGCTCCGATTGGTTAGTGGGGGTTTTGTGAGAGTAACTTAATCATAAAACTAAAGAGAGTGAAAGGAGAGACAACAAAAGAGATATAAATTCTTACTATTCATGTGTAAATCGTCACCCAAACTAGCTGAATCGGGTACGACACTTTCAGCATCACCACCACTTGATTCCTTACCAGGTGTTGGCGATGGCATCACGAGCGTCACCTCGATTTGCGGCACAACGCAGCCAAAAATAATCGAGTTTTGTTCATTTTGCTGCGGGAGAACCCAAAAGAGTAATTAGAGCACGTTCAACTGGAGGAGAGAACCACAGATATACCTTTTGCAGGATGCGCTCGGCATCCAGATTGAGGAAGGTGGACATCTCATTGAGCTCCTCGGCGAGTCGCAGCAGAAAGAGCAGCTGGTAGTGATCGATCTGCAGGCTGACCAGATTCGAGATGTGCGCTATGGCATGCATATCCGCAGTGCGATCGGGAGCAGCAGCAGCAGCAGCAGGAGGGCTGGCCTCGACACGCACATCCTCGTCGCTCAGGAAGGGGTTGCAGGGCTGAAGCGTTGGCAGTGGTGCCAGTCCCATGCTCTCCATGCTGGCTGTGGCGCTTTTTCCCAAATCCAGTTGTGCCTGGGCGGAGCCCGCATGCAACCAGAGCGTGATGGGCACAGCATCAACAAAGGGAATAGATTTGTTGGGTCCCAGCGAGCGAGAACCCAGGAAATCCACCCACACCGGATCCAGCTTGATGCACCACACGTCCCTGGGCTCCAGCCACATGACATAGCGGGACAGGTACTGAGTGGAAGCGGAGCGCGGCAGCTGCTGAGCACCGCCCCCGGCCGCCGCACCCGCCGGCGACATGGGCGACATCATGCTGACATCTGAGGCCGCCACATGGGACAGTATGCGATCCGTGACAATGCACATGTCACCCTCGACCGACGGGAAGCCCGAACCGAAGACCAGCGAGCCCTCCTGCAGGGAGTGCAGAGCTTGGGCCAAGTCCGCCCGGGAGCTTCCCATTTCACGGATGTTGGTTAGGGCAAAGCGCGACACTTGGATCTGCATCGTCTTGGGCCGGTCCTTTTGGTTGGGCGCATCCAGGGCCGCCTCCATGACGACACGCGGCATAATCGCCTCCACCTTGACATCCATGTACATCAGATTCGGCTCCTGCTCTACATTCAGTGCGGCCATCTGTGTGCCATAGGAGCCATTGGAGGCAATCGAGCCGCGTGCACTTTGTTGCTGCTGTTGCGACTGCTGCTGCAGTGTGTTCTGGGAGCCAACACTCGTGCGAAGAAGACTCTCGTGCAGGTTCAGGCCAAAGGAGTTGAGCCAGAGAATGGAGCCGAGATCGAAGTGCATCTGAATCGGATTCACATGCACAAATATCTTCGATGGCGGCACTGCAGGAGAACCGAGAGAGGAGGCGTCAGTGATGACAACACAATGGGTATGGAATGCTTTTCAGGACTCACGTGGAAAGACAAAGTCTCCGGGGTAGTAGAAGTACGTATACTCGGCATGGATGATGGGCATCTCGGCGGGAAACGAATACCTATCCTTGTCGCCTGCAAGTACGAGTAAGGGGTGTGAAATGTGTCAGACTTGAACGGGGCTCATAGCAGATTAGTTGGAATGCAGAATGTAGCTCTGTGGCACTCGATTACGCTCTATGATATTCACCTGACGATTTGCTCTTCCTTTTATGTTGTGCTACAAAGGTGACGGACAACAACAACAACAAGAGGAACAGGAACAACAAAACCGTTTTACGTAAATCATGATCATGGCAATGGCAATGGCAATGGCAATGAGGGATTACATATGTCATTGTTAATCAGACAAAAGCAAAGAGAGAGAGAGAGATATCCCAAAATTTACATTAGTCTGAGATGCTAAAGTAGTGGGGGGTGTACGTGTGTGCGTGTGTCAGTGGGCGTGGCATGTTAATTCTGAACTGCTGTGTCTCGAGAGTCCATGGTCATACCTGAGACGAATTCCTTTGGCATGGCTTTCTTGCCCGACGTAGTCACGCGATACAGGGTAAAGTCCTCGATCCTCAGGATAACGCACGAACTCATCAGCTTGGCCAGGTTTTCCAGGGTATGGCGCTGCTGCGCTGCCTGTGACATTTGGCTGCTGGCGGAGGCAGAGCCGGAGCCGGATCCACCAGAACCAGCTGCTGCCACTGTGGGGGTGCTGCTGCCATTGGAGACGCTGCCGCCCAGCTGGGAGCTCAGCATGCTTGCGTTCAGCATAATGGGTGAGGCCGGGGTGCTACGCTCGAGCGGGGCATGTGTGGCCGGCCGATTGGGCTGGCTCAAATTGAGCACTGCCTCACGGAAGGCATTCAGGGACTCCTTCAGCCACAGCGCTGGTGCCACCGAGGCCTCCTTGTACTTGGCCCAGTGCGAGCGATCCGATTTGGCCAGATGGTACGGATAGTAGTCGACTTGGAAGGCCGTCACCGAGACCTGCAGGGCGCCCCCCTTGTCCAGATCCGGATAGCTAGAACGCCCGTCCCCCTCGTCGTCGCAGAGATGCAGATCGATGCGCTGGCTGAAAAAGTGGTACGAGGTCTCGCGCACATCGAAGGCATTGAACATGCGCTGGGCCGTCGTTGTGTGGGCCGATTCGGACAAACGGTTCTGCTGCTGCTCCACCTGGGCCTTGTACTCGGGCAGGGTCTGAAACAATTAGACAACAAATGAGATTAAATCGAGTAATCACTGCGGCAGTGTGAGCCACTGACCTGCATTTTGCGAGCCGCCTTTGTCTTTTGCGTGGCATGGGTGGCCGCCTTGATAAGGCCCGACAGGGAATCCACAAAATGCAGAGCCGCCTTCAGCTGCGAGTCGGTTAGCACCCAGAGAAGATCGTCCAGGATGAGGACCAGGCGGGAAGCGAGCAGCGAACAGTCCGCCAAACGCTTCCGAATGGTTATCCGGCAACGGGCATGGTTCGTGAGCAGACGCAGGGGGGTCAGCGATTTGTCCTGAGTAGAGCTGGCCTCGATGCGCACGGTCTGCCAGGAGAGCTCCTTGAAGATCAGTATTATACCCTTCTGGGCGTCCTTGAGGCGTGTCATACGGAGGTCAGCATTGGCCCACTTGGGAGTCTTTGACTCGACTCGAATGCGCGACATCTGCACCGAGGCGTTGAATGCGGCACTCACAAAGTTCACGTTCACAGTGTTGACTACGATGGTGATGCCGTCGACTACCTTGTGGATGAAGCTGTACTTCCCCTGGGGCACTTGTGGCAGGGCAGCGGCAGCGGCAGCAGGAGATCCTGATCCTCCGCCTCCTGCATCGCGTGTCATAGGATTGCAGGTTTCGATGGTGATGCGCACCTCATCCAGCGTCTGTTTATTGAAAAAATGTAACTCAGAGATGGGAAGGGAAACCTTTTTGTCCGCAAGCACTCACCAGTGTGATGGGCACACTCTTCAGCTTGGTCCAGCTAATACGGAAGGAGACATGGTTGCACCAGGCCGATGTCAGGCGCAGCCAGCTGGGAAGCTCCAGCAGCTCGGTGAGCACACGCTCGTCCAGCTCCAGGTTCGAGAGCTCTCCCTCGCCGCGAAAGGTGCTCAGGTTGATTTTGTCCGAGGAGAGGTTCTTTGTGTAGCTGTGTGTGTGCCGGAGATAAAGGAAATAGAACCAATGTGAGTGAGTTGAGTCGTCTGCCTTGTCTCAGCAATTATTTCTGCCTTGTCGAACATGTCCCATCGCATTTGCAGTGGAGGTCGTGGGTCGTGGAGCGTGGGGAACTGTCGGCACCAGATGGGGCCACTCAGTCAGTTGCCACCAATTGACCCACTTCCCGCTAATGGTTGAGTTTAATTGAAATTGAAACATTGATTGTGTTCAAGCTGCAAAGGGTTCCTATAGCAAGGAAGCGGATAGCGGAGTTATTCAATAAAAAGTTGATTCCATTAAAAGGCAACTTGTTACTTAAAAACTTTGACTAACTTTCGTCTAACCGAATCCTGAAATACCCTACGAAAATTACAATAATGGGCTCTCTCCTTCAGAGCGTGTCCAAGTTCTGGCCCAAAATGGTAACAACCTCAAGGGAAATAAAAGCTTTCTTAAACTTTTCTTTGGGACCTTTTATGTGACGGTGTGGGAGGGGGGATTATGTGAGAATGTTGGCAAAGGATGAGGGTGGGGAGCGGGCAACGGCAACGGCAACAAGTTTGCTCTGCATTTACACTTTTGGCCTTGTTGGGTTATAAACGTTGCTTGTTTGCAGCTTAATTACGTGGAAAATAGGATGTGAAGATGGCACCCAAAGGATTCGAGCATTGCACCAAAGACAATGCCAGCCCAAAACCCAAAAAGTTGCGTGTGTATGTAAGTTAACACATATTACAAGTTATCGCACCCCCTTAACTTCATCATCTTGCGCCACCCCACACATAACATCTTGCAGCGCTCAGTTCAGAAAGCTGACACAGCACTGACGCTGTTGTGGGCCGTCCCTCACTCCATTGGCCAACGGCCGTCGCCTGATTCTGGCGGATGTGCGGTGGTCAGCGAATTCCATTCTTGCATGAATGGTTCGCGAGCGGGGGATCTGGGAGTTAAGTTTAGTTTAAGATTTTACAAATAAACGAACGGTTCGTTCACTTCTACTCCGACACATGTCGTAAAACATTTATTAACTTGATTATATCGTTGAGCCTTAAGGGCCAGCGAATAGAGGGCAGTCACCCTCTCAACGTAATCTCCATAAGAAGACCCAGTTGCCAAACGGCAACCACCGCCCCCCGCTACAAGAGCGGGACACGGGAATCCGATCGCTGCCGCCGGAGCCGCAGCTCGGACCAACACCAATTCAAGCCACCTCCCCCGCTACCAGAGCGGGCCACCGGAAGCCGATCGCTGCCGCCGGAGCCTACGCACCGGACCGCAGCTAGGACTAACATAGATATAAAGATAATTGGCGCCCAACGGGATTGGAAATATCCTAAGAGAATCCACGTCCCCAAAAGATAAAACCATGTAAGTGACTGTTCGCAAAAGATAATAGATTTTGAAAAAAGTAAAAGAGAGAAAGAAAAATAAAAAATTAAAAAGATTAATTAAAACCACTCAAGCTGCTGCGTGAAAACGCTGCTTGAAAAAAAACATAATAAATTTAAATATCTGACAGTGCAAGTGTGAACGTCACGCAATACAATAAGTTTTTGTTTTGAAACCGAATGAGTGCATCTGTGTGGTTAAATAAATGATCGCCCGAGTTTGTTCATTTGATATCTTGCTGTGTGGTTTGATTTTTTCTCAGTAATTGCCCATGAATTGGAGTTATAGGGAACAAAAAGTACAGTCCGATAGTGACGAAAGCTTAGACCTAGGGTATCGCCCCCCACAGCCGAAACAAAATCGGTCAGAAATGGATGCAGGAATGATAAAAGCATTGGTAGACGGCGCGATCGCCAACGCCCTCGCCGAACAAGAACGGCGTTTAACACAGGATTTCAGCAGTGAAATCCAAAGAATGAGGAATCAAGTGAATGCCCTAACTATAGAAACCCCTCAAGTAGAAACCTTTAAAAGAGTGACCATCGACCCTAACATAAAGTGCGAAGTTAAGTTAGACATTGTGAAATCGGTGCCGACCTTTAGCGGAAACCATGAGGAATATGTGTCGTGGAGGCAATCTGCCGTAGATGCATACGAAGTCTTTAAAATTTATGTAGGTAGCCAGGCACACTACGAGGCTGTGGCCATTTTGAAAAACAAAATTTGCGGTACCGCGCGAGCGCTACTCACGTCCCACAATACCGTGTTAAATTTTGATGCAATTCTGGCCAGGCTAGATTGCACATACGCGGACAAAACGTCCCTACGCGTACTACGTCAGAATCTGGAAATGGTTCGACAAGGTGACGCCGACCTTATGGCATACTATGACGAAGTCGAGAGGAAACTCACGCTCGTCACGAACAAAATAGTCATGTCCCGTAATGCGGACACGGCAACCATCCTGAATAAGGAGGTTAGGGACGACGCCCTCCACGCATTTATTGCAGGGCTCAAACGGCCGCTCAAATCACTGGTGCTGCCAGCACAGCCCAAAGACCTCCCGTCCGCGCTAGCGATAGCGCGGGAAGCCGAAAATAGCATTGAAAGAAGTGCATTCGCGGCATCCTACGCAAAAGCGATAGAGGACAAATCTATTGTTTACGAGGGCAACAAACGCAACAATAAATTTCAAGGCAAGCAATGGAAAGGTGAGGATAAAAATCCACACTTCATTCCTAAGCAAGGCCAAGGCAAGCCGCAAGAGGACAACCTCTGGCCAAAGCGCGGGGATACCGAAATTATTGACCAGAATAAAGTGCAGCCTATGGAGGTAGACCCTTCATTATCCAAATTTAGGCAGGACACAAGCTGGGGAAAGCCTCAAAGTAATAACAATTACAAAAGGCCGAATTCGTCCCAGCGTCAATCGGGGCAGAGACGCCAACGGGTAAATAACATAGTGCAGCAGGCCTATAACCAGGAAGAACAAGAGTACTCGAATACAGCCGAGGCCGCAGTCGCCGAGATCGACGAAGAAAACGACCCGACCGGCAACGACTTGCTTAATTTTTTAGACAGCGCTCCAATTGCCGTTCGTCGAGCGACAATTGGCGGGCAAAACACTAAAAATTCTAATCGACACCGGAGCGGCAAAAAATTACGTGAAGCCCATAAAGGAGCTAAAGAACGTAACTGCTGCTGACTCCCCTTCACAGTGAGCTCAATACATGGCTCCAGTGAAGTAAGAAATAAGTGCATAATGTGCATTTTCGGGCTAAAAGCCCCATTTTTTTTGTTGAACACGCTAAATACGTTTGATGCCATTATAGGTTCCGATTCACTAACGCGAGCGGGAGCGGCATTAAACCTGCGCGACAAAACAATCAAATACGGAAACGTAACGGAACAGCTTCAGTTCCACGAATGCGACAGTGTAAATTTCACCCAAGTCGACGACCTAACGGTCCCAAATGCGGTAAAAGCCGAATTTAAGAAAATGATACTGAAGAGAATTAGAGTTTTTTCGACCTCTAGCGAGGCGCTTCCCTTTAACACCTCAGTTATCGCCACCATTCGAACCGAGAGTAATGAACCAGTCTACTCTAAATTGTATCCCTACCCATGGGAGCAGCAGACTTCGTGAACAAAGAAGTCAAAGAACTACTGAAAGACGGAATAATCAGGCCATCTAGGTCACCGTATAACAGTCCGATTTGGGTCGTAGACAAGAAAAAGACCGACTCCAACGGCAACAGGAAGAAACGGCTGGTAATCGACTTCAGGAAACTGAACGAGCGAACTATCGCCGACCGATACCCTATGCCTAGCATACCCATGATTTTAGCAAATTTGGGAAAGGCAAGGTTTTTTACCACCCTAGATCTGAAATCAGGGTACCACCAAATATATATGGCGGAAAAAGACCGGGAAAAAACTTCGTTTTCAATAAACGGAGGAAAATACGAATTCTGTCGCTTGCCCTTCGGACTTAAAAATGCGGGAAGCATTTTCCAAAGGGCAATCGACGACGTTCTACGCGAACAGATTGGGAAAACATGTTATGTCTATGTAGACGACGTAATAATTTTTTCCGAAAACGAAAAAGACCATGTCAGACACATCGACACGGTACTGAAATGCCTGTGCGAAGCTAACATGAGGGTGGCCCCGGAAAAGACAAAGTTCTTCAGAGAAAGTGTTGAATTCTTAGGCTTCATAGTGACCAGGGGCGGAGCCAAGACAGACCCAGAGAAGGTGAGGGCGATAAAGGAATACGCTGAACCAAAAACGCTGTTCAGCCTCAGGTCATTCCTCGGGTTAGCAAGCTACTATAGGAGCTTTGTCAAAGACTTCGCGGCAATAGCAAGACCCCTAACTGCCATACTCAAAGGAGAAAATGGCACGGTCAGCAAGCACATGTCAAAGAAAGTTTCGGTTCAGTTCGATGAAACGCAACGCGACGCTTTCGGCCGCCTGCGAAACATACTGGCTTCAGAGGATGTCGTACTAACGTACCCAGACTTTAAACTGCCTTTCGACCTAACCACCGATGCCTCAGCAAGCGGCATCGGAGCGGTGCTTTCCCAAAATGGCAGACCAATAACAATGGTGTCGCGCACACTTAAAGATTGCGAGCTGAACTACGCCACAAATGAGAGGGAACTACTAGCCATCGTTTGGGCCATAGGGAAACTACAAAATTACTTATACGGTACTAAGGAGATACGAATCTTCACTGATCACCAGCCCCTGACCTTCGCCGTGTCTGAAAAAAACACAAACGCGAAAATTAAACGGTGGAAAGCCTTTATAGAGGAACACAACGCTAAAATTTTCTATAAACCAGGGAAGGAAAACTACGTCGCCGACGCTTTGTCCCGACAAAACATTAATAACTTACAGGACGAGCCACAGTCAGACGCGGCCACTATGCACAGCGAGCTTTCACTGACCTACACAGTGGAGACCACCGATAAGCCTCTAAATTGTTTCAGAAACCAGATAATTCTGGAAGAAGCAAGCCAGCCGCTACGGCGGAACTTCATTATCTTCGGCGGGAAAACCCGCCACATAATCCATTTTAATAACAGAGACTCCCTGATCGAATCAGTAAAAGAGATGGTCAACCCGAATGTCGTGAATGCAATTCACTGCGACCTTCCAACTTTAGCCTCCCTCCAACACGACCTAGTGCTGAGGTTTCCGGCAACCAAATTTTGGCATTGCAAAAATTTCGTGAACGACATCACAGATGCAAGCGAACAAGTGGAAATAACCACAACAGAACACAATCGTGCCCATAGGGCTGCGCAGGAAAACGTTAAGCAGATCCTCCGGGACTACTATTTCCCAAAGATGACGAAGCTCGCCAATGAAGTAGTCATAAACTGTAAAGTATGCACCAAAGCAAAGTATAATAGACACCCTAAAAAACAAGAGCTAGGAGTGACCCCAATTCCGTCGTATGCAGGAGAAATGCTGCACATCGACATCTTCTCTACAGATAAAAAACTCTTCTTGACCTGCATTGACAAATTCTCAAAATTTGCCATTGTGCAACCCCTAGCTTCCAGGGCAATAGTGGAAGTACGTGCCCCCATCTTGCAATTGATGAACTTCTACCCGAATACCAAGACCATATATTGCGACAACGAAGCCGCCTTTAGTTCCGAGACAATTACGTCTCTGTTAAAAAGCCAATACGGAGTTGATGTAGTTAACGCACCTCCTCTTCATAGTAGCTCCAACGGGCAGGTAGAGAGGTTTCACAGTACCTTGGCAGAGATTGCAAGATGCATAAAGATCGACAAAAAAATCGACGATACAATCGAACTAATCATGCGTGCCACGGTAGAATACAACAAAACGTTGCATTCGGTCATAGACGAGAGGCCGGTTGAAGCAGTTCATACCAACAACAAAGATCTTAAGTTGACAATTAAAGCCAAAATCGACAAGGCACAAAAGGACAACCTCGGCAGGATTAACCCCGGTAGACAAAACAGAGTCTTCGAAGTAGGTGAAAAAGTATACCCAAAGAATAACAGGAGGTTAGGAAACAAGCTAACCCCGTTGTACACGGAAGAACGGGTGCAGGCAGATCTGGGAACATCTGTCCTCATTAGAGGGAGGGTGGTCCATAAGGACAATTTGAGATAATCAAACAACAATTACTACAAATCTGATTATCACTCCCACAGGTTGGCCGCGATACTCCTCGTACTCCTTACCACAACAAATGCGCGGATTACCGACTTTTCCCAGGCGAACTACATTCCGGTACGGGACGGAGATGTGTTGGTGTGGGAACAAAGAAGCTGGGTGAGGCACTCGACAAATCTGACCGAGTTAGGGAACATCATAGATGATACTGCAAAAATGTCCGAGTTATTTCCCCAATCACATATGCGAAAGCTGTTAGAAGTAGATATAGAACACGCGAAGAACATATTGTCCGCCCTAATGATACACCATAGAATGGCAAGAAGCCTAGACTTCTTGGGAACAGCACTCAAAGTTGTTGCGGGTACCCCTGATGCATCAGACCTCGAAAGAATCAAATTAACAGAAGCTCAACTTATAGAGTCAAACAATAGACAGGCAGTGATCAACACAGAGGCACAGAGACAAATCAATTTGCTCACCGACACGGTTAACAAAATATTGAAAGAAAAACAAGGTGATCTGGTAGACACCGCTCACCTATATGAAACATTACTAGCAAGAAATAGAATGCTTATCTCAGAAATCCAGAACTTGATGCTGACCATCACACTTGCCAAGTCAAACATAATAAACCCTATCATATTCAATCATAACGACCTAAAGTCTATCTTTAACGAACAGCTCACGGAGGTCCCCATAGTTAGTCTTATGGATGTATCTAGAATTAAAATTTTTCAATCCAATATTGTTATCCATGTCTTAGTTGAGTATCCTAGGATTAAAAGTAGATGTAAGAAAATCCTAATTTTTCCCGTGGCGCGCAACAACACCGTGCTACAACTACAAGACAATGTTGTAGCAGAATGCGAAGAGGGGATCCTGGCGGTAACCGAATGCGTCGCCACCAACTTTGCGACATTCTGCAAGCAGGCCGCACACAGCACTTGCGCCCGCGAGATACACGCCGGAGGCGCAGCCTCATGCCGCACACAACCGAGCCACCTGGAGCCCGTCACACTGGTGGACGATGGCATAATCATCATCAACGGGCGGCCGGCGAGGGTCAGCGTGGACAACGGACCTCTAGTAACAACAAGAGGGGCTAATCTCGTTACATTTGAGAGCAAAGCCACAATAAACGACACCACATACGTGAATCTCAACGGAACCGTGAGCAAGGTACCAGGCACCGCGGCTTCCCCCCTACTCACCATAATAGGGCACGACGAAGTCCTCAGCCTACCACTCTTGCGACGGATGAACGAACACAACATTCAAGTTATAGAAGAGCTAAAGAATGATGTGACATCCGGCGGATCACCCAAGATCTGGTTCGCGGCAGGAGTAGCCGTCAGTTTCGCGCTTTGTGGCTTGATGCTTTTACACCATTACTGGAGTCGGAGAACCTCCACACTCAGGCTCCAGAATGTCATCAAGGAGATTGGCATCCCCGAGGACAGGGATCACCCAAGGGGGGAGTAGTTAACACATATTACAAGTTATCGCACCCCCTTAACTTCATCATCTTGCGCCACCCCACACATAACATCTTGCAGCGCTCAGTTCAGAAAGCTGACACAGCACTGACGCTGTTGTGGGCCGTCCCTCACTCCATTGGCCAACGGCCGTCGCCTGATTCTGGCGGATGTGCGGTGGTCAGCGAATTCCATTCTTGCATGAATGGTTCGCGAGCGGGGGATCTGGGAGTTAAGTTTAGTTTAAGATTTTACAAATAAACGAACGGTTCGTTCACTTCTACTCCGACACATGTCGTAAAACATTTATTAACTTGATTATATCGTTGAGCCTTAAGGGCCAGCGAAATAGAGGGCAGTCACCCTCTCAACGTAATCTCCATAAGAAGACCCAGTTGCCAAACGGCAACCACCGCCCCCCGCTACAAGAGCGGGACACGGGAATCCGATCGCTGCCGCCGGAGCCGCAGCTCGGACCAACACCAATTCAAGCCACCTCCCCCCGCTACCAGAGCGGGCCACCGGAAGCCGATCGCTGCCGCCGGAGCCTACGCACCGGACCGCAGCTAGGACTAACATAGATATAAAGATAATTTGTACACATACATATGTGTATACAAATATGGTTATATATAGCATACAGATGTACTTGATTATATATAAGTAAATTAGCTATTGTTAAGACAGGTGGCAGGACAATGCACACCAATAAACAAACACACATATGCATGTATTCACGAACAACTTTTCTGCACTTCCAGCTGTTATAATAATTCAATCATTGCAATGTGGCTACATATAGCACCATCAAAGTTTAAGTGCCCTCGATCTGGCTATCGGATAACGTATTTGCGGGAAACAGCTTGAAAGACGGCGAAAAAAGAAAGAGCGAAAGGTACGTCGGGGAAATTTGGCAATCCACTTGTTACGCCAGGAGCTGGCGGCGCTCTACCACCACTATGGGTGTGGGGGGGGGCGGCACACCGTGTGCTACCAAGAGGCAAGAATTAGTGCGGGGGGATGGGAACTAAGCCATAAACGATAAAGAAGACATAAAAGCGGGGAAAAAGTTGGCCGACAGGTGACGAAAACGGGAAGAAGGGGTGGGAAGCTGCAAATGAATATATATATATACATATGTATATACAGAAGCAGCAATGCCAGAACGTTGAACGCTGGGAAAAATCAATTTAGTTTCCAGTAGCTCTGGCGTCCGCGCTCTGACCCCAAGAGCTTTAGATTACTGTGCCCCCATCACCACCCAGCAACTGCAGCAAATACAGTTTTATAATTTGGTTTCACGCCAACCAAACCCGTCTGGGGCAGAGCCAATACTTACATGGACAAATGCTTGAGCAATTGGTTCTTTATCAGGGAGACCATTTTAGCAACGTCAGCAGCGGATGCAATTGGAAGACGGCGGTGTCGGAGAGAGACGGAGATAACCAAATAAACAAATGAGCCTATTCGCAGGCACCTGACAATCGCTCGCACAACAAATTCAACGTCCGCGCAGCATAATTTCGTTAGTTGGAAGTATGAAAGAGGCACTCATCGGCAGCAAATGGGAGTCACTTTCAATTGTTTTTTTCTCGACTCGACTGTCTTTTACATGTGAATCCTTAGTGCACCTGGCCCGGAGATCAATTGGAAAACTCGCGAGTGTGCTTTACTTGTCCCAGCTGAGTTGCCGGGCCTCACATATTCACGTGCACTTCGAGAAGTCAGTTAAATGCAAAAAACAGTCATATGTACGCCATTTAGTCAACAGTTTCTCAGCACGCAGCGTGACCGTCACAATAACGATACAAAATACCATCCGGCCAAAAAATAAATACCATTTAATACCATTTCAGTTTTGATAAATACTATTTAAATACCATACCATAAAAAAACCAGGACAATCGGCGATCAAACGAGCCCTAACCCACTTAACACCCCTCTATTTAAAAATTTGAGCACCCTTTGTTAAACCGCGGAAAATAATACTTTTTGTAAAGGGACCTTGTAGCTCCATCCTCCGCGTTACTTACAGAACAAAAATGACCACCGACATCTTTCACTTGTAATGCGTAAAATATGTTAAAGTTACATAAATTTCGTGGAAATATTTAATACCCCGCTGGTCAACAATGGGATAACGTTCTATTTTATTGATTGAAATCGTATTCCATAATTTTGATATTCAGTTTAATATTACCAGCTAGTTGGCCCTCTCAGCCCTAAGAAAATAATTTTATTCGATAGATACATCAATTTTCTACAAGATTGGCTATATATATATATATATATATTGTGTCGTGTCTGTGTACACATACATTTGCACTTCTCGGCTTGCTTTCTGATCTCGTCATGAATCGAACATGTCGAAAAAATGCCGAACGTCTCAATTCCACACCCAAACGTCTCAGGTCCACGACCCGAACGTCTGAGGTCCAACAGTCGAAGACCTGGGGACATGACAGAAAACTCAGCTGCGACACGTTCGGTGTATGAAATGGCACATCTATATACTGTATGGTTAGTGATCTTATTTATGAATAATTCGAATGAAAATGAGTACTTATGTTTGGCGGAAATTTGAGGAAATTGATTAAGTATATTAAAATCGAGGAATATCAACGTATCTTGTCGTGTTCGTCAGTATATGATTAAAAAGAAAAGGTATATTTGGGTATATCGGTATTAGTATATAGAATCATGTTCTAATTTATTTGAAAAGCCTAGTACTCAGATCGAAAAACTGTTTGCTAGCAAACAAATGTCATATATTCTTCCAGCGGCCAGTTGTGTGACCAGAGGTGTGCACTGCTTTCCGTACGGTTACACTGCTCAGACAGCTGTCTGGTTTTGTTTAAAGTTAATAAAATGCACTTCTTCGGCTGGGATCGCTCTTCACCAGGCATATCCTGGGCTCCCCAATATTTTATTGGCAAGGTAATGTGTCTGACTATCAGCAGCAGCAGATGGCGACGCCTCCCGTGCCGACCACCGTGAAGACAAAATATTTTGAAAACAATTTTTTTTATATTTATGAAAATTAATAAAAATAATATATTATAATATCCATATAATTGTCTCTCATATAATGCTGCATTAATTAGATTCTATTTGTTCCCGAAGAAATTTCTTATCGGTTTCATATGAATATCAACCCTAATTGTTTTCGCGAGCTGTTTTTTCGGATCTGAGTACTAGGCTTAATATTGTGTGTGTGTCGACAAAAGATGGAATATTTCTATGCTTCGCGAGGGCCCAGGAATACCATCGGTTGCTTTTTCAGTACTAATCGGTATTTAAGTTTTCGGTACTGAGTTTGCTAAAAGGCTCTGAAAACTGAGCCCATCCCGGGGGAACGGTGGGAATTTTCAACAGATGTAAAACACCAATTCACACTGGCCCCATCCAGCATCCATGGAAAAAAAGATGATGAGCATAAAATAACAGAGACAACCACCTGCACTTGTATCGTTTGGAAACGAAAATCATCACTGATTCGACGGTCGACGGAAAATTTATCTCATCTGAGTACTATGCTTAAAGCTTAAAATAGGTCGAAACGTCACGTAACAATGTCCATTGCCATAACAGGATATTTACAAATAAAAATTATAATTATCATTATCCAATACACTCGTCAAAAAATTTGTCATTTTTCTGATGAACTTGGGTCTCCAATATTTTTCAATGCATTACGGTTTGTATTTAGTTGTTTTTTTTTTTATTATTTAAATTTAATTTTAATTTATCAAACATTTTTGCAGACTTAAATCTTTTAGTTTAAGTGGGTCTGATGTTTGTTTATTGAGGTGTTGACTAGAGTTATTAAAAAAATATTATATGTATACATATGTTTGAAAATTTGACTTCGCAATTTACCTCTTCTTCGTTTTTCTACAATGCATTTACACGATTATATCATAGGTATTTAAACTTTCTATAAAAAACTGGCATAACAAAGAATTTGATACCTACCAATCTATCGCTACGCAAATGTGTTGTCCGATATGAAGATAACTTTGGCTCTTTGGATGGTCGACGAAACGACCACTTACTGCGAGGACGTCCTCGAAAATACAAGATTATAGTTCCTGCCAATCTGGCAATGTCTTGTTTGCTGTCAAAAATCACTGCAATAACTGCGCTCAGAGGTTCTCAACCCATACCGGCAGATCCGAAACTGAAACAGAATTCCATTTTGTGGTTTTGATGCTTTCAGTAACACTTCATCACATTTTAACAGCCATATATATATGAGTGATTATATACCCTTGAGTACTGCTCGGCGTACAGCCGCAAAGAATCACATTTGCTGGAAGAAATATCTTATCGGTTTCATACGAATATTATCCCTGATTTTGCTAGCGTTATTTTTTCGGATCTGAGCACTAGGCTACTAGTCTAATGTCATAAGGCCCTGACAGGGAAAAAGAGTGCCCCTACTGACAATGAGTGTTGTATAAAATTCACACAAAGTGACATGGAAAAGGTGACGCAAAACAAGAATGAAAACAATATGAGTTTTTTTCCACGAGATCTCACTCAAAATTCTGGACCAGAGCAAAGACAACTTAAAAACTAAAATTTGCTAATTATTAAGCAGACAAAATGTCCAGTAGCGAAGATTCACCAGACGAGCTGGTGAAGCAGGTTGTGGAAATCACGGCATGCACTGAAGATGAAGCCAAACACTTTTTGGGAGCCTGTGCCAACGATGTAGCTGCCGCGGTTGTCCTGTTTTTCGAGCAGCAGGGTGGAGCCGCGGCTGCCTCGACATCATCGACGAGCGCGGGTCCTTCATTGCCAGTACTAGACGATGAAGAAGAGGTTCGTGCTCCCATAGCTCCGATTAGGGAGCAGCTAATACTGCCAGAAGATGACAACTTCTTTGCGTCCGGTGGCAGCAACAGCAACCGGCTGTCGCGTGTCTCGCAGCGGCAGAAGGTCTGTCCACTGCGCGACTTTGCCCGTGAGGCAGCTCTGATGGAGGAGCAACTGCAGGCCACGGGCGCCTACTCGGACCCCGGCGCCCATCGAAGGCGTCGAGAACGCTCCGCCCAAATGGTTGTAGCCGGTCAGGCCATCGCGCTAAATTCACGCACCGGTGCGGCCACATCCACCACTACATCCCGCCTTGGTGATCTATTTCGCCCACCCACAGACATACTCTATTCCGGAACTTTCACGGCGGCCCGGGAGTTCGCCACCAAGCGGCAGCGATGGCTGCTGGTTAACGTACAAGGGGATAATTTTCAGTCGCAGACCATGAACCGCGATGTCTGGTCAAACAAGGATCTGAAGAAGTTGGTAAGGCGTCAATTCACATTCTGGCAGGTGGACAACGACACTTCCGAGGGACGCCGCTTCGTGGCCTTTTATCACTGCGCGAAGCTGCCGTATCTGTGCATCATTGATCCCCGCACTGGCGAGGAGGTTTGGCGAAGCCCGGAGCCCAATCAGGAAAATGTTCTGCCAGATTTGAGGCAATTTCTGCGAGAGCATCGCGACTTTACCCACGAAGATGCTCCTAGCACTTCAACTTCGGTTAAACGAGCCGCCAAGCACCTTGAAGACGATGAGATCGAGGACGTGGACGTCGACGTGGATGCCGAGGCCTCGTGCTCGTCTGCCAGCTCCCGCGGAACGCCAAAGAAGCGAGCCAAGCTGCTGGAGCTCACCGAGGAGGAGCAGCTCGAGCTGGCCATCAAGAATTCGATGAATGAAAATGGAGACGCCATCAAGGAAGATGGTCAGGCCAGCGATGCCGAGAGCCTTGAGGAATTCGACGATGACGAGCTCAAAGTGGCTGCAGCTGCAGCCACCACCACCTCCTACGAAACTCAGCTGGGCGAAGCCAAGGACGAGGTGACCACTTTAAAATTGCGTCTACTGAATGCATTGGGCGCCGATGAAGTCGTCCAGCTACGCTGGCCCTCGGACACCAAGCTGGAGACCCTACGTTTGTACATTCGCCAAACGCACAAGCACATCCCACAAGAGGGCTACAAGCTCATCTGCGCCTTTCCGCGCAAGTCGCTCGAGACGGAGCACAACCAGAGCTCGCTGAAAGAACTCGGACTGCATCCCTCGGCCAATGTGCATCTCACTCTAGACGACTAGATGGTGGTCGGTGGCACACACTTGGTCTCACTCCATCACTCTGTCTGTCCAAACAAAGCAGCGCAACGCACTTTTCATATAATTATTTAGAATTTGGTCTCTGGCCCGTACCCTGTTCCCCCCATCTCAAAGCTCCACACGAATTAAAACGCTGTCTTAAATTTAAGTAACAATACATTGAATAAAACCCACTCTACTAGGAAGGCTACTTAAGTTTTCAATATCATTGGATTGAATTGACTTTATTTTGCCTGAGCCTGAAAACCTGAAAAAACTTTGAATGCATAACCACCCTGTCTTTGCTTTGGCGCCAAGCCGAAATCAGCTGTGCCTCCAAAGCAGGCCAGTTATTTATTTTATTTATTTTTTATTTTTATTTATTTATTTATTTCTCTCAAAATTCTAAATTGTTACAATTGACTCCAACAATAGGACGCGTCATGTCGAAACCAATTACCTTTGTTACGGGCAACGCCAAGAAGCTAAAGGAATTAGTCGCAATCTTAGGCCCCAATTTCCCGCGCACCATTGTGTCCAAGAAAGTAGATTTACCGGAGTTGCAAGGTTTGCAATACACACGTAATTACTTTCCTATGGTTTGAGTGCTCTATAGAGTATGATTTACAGGCGATATTGATGAGATAGCTGTAAATAAATGCAAGGAGGCGGCGCGTCGGATGAATGGTCCAGTGTTGACGGAAGACACCAGCCTGTGCTTTAACGCTCTAGAGGGCTTGCCAGGGCCATACATCAAGTGGTTCTTGGAGAAGCTGAGGCCAGAGGGATTGTACAGGCTTCTTGCCGGATGGGAAGACAAGTCCGCGGAGGCAGTGTGCACATTTGCCTATTGCGAATGCGCCGATGCAGAGCCGAAGCTGTTCAAGGGCGTTACAGAGGGTGTGATCGTACAGCCGTGTGGTCCCAGGGACTTTGGATGGTGAGTCAGTTGCACGAATGAATATGAGCAGTGGTATTTACAATGGTTATATCTTTTAATTCAGGGATCCCGTGTTCCAGCCAAAGGGCTATCAGAAGACCTTTGCTGAATTGCCCAAGTCGGAGAAAAACACCATCTCGCACCGTTATCGGGCCATGGCACTGCTTCGAAAGCACTTCGAGACCAAAGACAACTAAGACCTTGCTTTTTATAACCTAAGAATGATTTTATTTAATATTTAATATTTTATATTTCGACGATGAAGAGTTCAAAGTGGCTGCAGCCGCAGCCACCACCACCTCCTACGAAACTCAGCTGGGCGAAGCCAAGGACGAGGTAACCACTTTAAAGCTGCGTCTACTGAATGCCTTGGGCGCCGATGAAGTCGTCCAGCTACGCTGGCCCTCGGACACCAAGCTGGAGACCCTACGTTTGTACATTCGCCAAACGCACAAGCACATCCCACAAGAGGGCTACAAGCTCATCTGCGCCTTTCCGCGCAAGTCGCTCGAGACGGAGCACAACCAGAGCTCGCTGAAAGAACTCGGACTGCATCCCTCGGCCAATGTGCATCTCACTCTAGACGACTAGATGGTGGTCGGTGGCACACGCTTGGTTTCACTCCATCACTCTGTCTGTCCAAACAAAGCAGCGCAACGCACTTTTCATATAATTTTTAGAATTTGGTCTCTGGCCCGTACCCTGTACCCCCCATCCCAAAGCTCCACACGAATTTAAATGCTTTCTTAAATTTAAGTAACAATACATTGAATAAAACGCACTCTACTAGGAAGGCTACTTAAGTTTTCAATATCATTGGATTGAATTGACTTTATTTTGCCTGAGCCTGAAAACCTGAAAAAACTTTGAATGCATAACCACCCTGTCTTTGCTTTGGCGCCAAGCCGAAATCAGCTGTGCCTCCAAAGCACGCCACTTATCTCTCTCAAAATTCTAAATTGTTAGAATTGACTCCAACAATAGGACGCGTCATGTCGAAACCAATTACCTTTGTTACGGGCAACGCCAAGAAGCTAGAGGAATTAGTCGCAATCTTAGGCCCCGATTTCCCGCGCACTATTGTGTCCAAGAAAGTAGATTTACCGGAGTTGCAAGGTTTGCAATACACACGTAATTACTTTCCTATGGTTTGAGTGCTCTATAGAGTATGATTTACAGGCGATATTGATGAGATAGCTGTAAAGAAATGCAAGGAGGCGGCAAGTCGGGTGAATGGTCCAGTGTTGACGGAAGACACCAGCCTGTGCTTTAACGCTCTAGAGGGCTTGCCAGGGCCATACATCAAGTGGTTCTTGGAGAAGCTGAGGCCAGAGGGATTGTACAGGCTACTTGCCGGATGGGAAGATAAGTCCGCGGAGGCAGTGTGCACATTTGCCTATTGCGAAGGCGCCGATGCAGAGCCGAAGCTGTTCAAGGGCGTTACAGAGGGTGTGATCGTACAGCCGCGTGGTCCCAGGGACTTTGGATGGTGAGTCAGTTGCACGAATGAATATGAGCAGTGGTATTTACAATGGTTATATCTTTTAATTCAGGGATCCCGTGTTCCAGCCAAAGGGCTATCAGAACACCTATGCTGAATTGCCCAAGTCGGAGAAAAACACCATCTCGCACCGTTATCGGGCCTTGGCACTGCTTCGAAAGCACTTCGAGACCGAAGACAACTAAGACCTTACTTTTTATAAACTAAGAATGATTTTATTTAATATTTGAATATTTGTTCTACAATGTCGAGAAAATGTTACAACTCAAGAGCTTCGAGGTACTACTTTAATCCATATCTCTTAATCAACCTTCTTGCTCTTGGGCTTCTTGGCCTTCGCCTTGGCGGCCTGTGCGCTAGACGGTTTGTTCCAATAGTAAATAAGCTGTGTCACAATAACTCCATTGGCGAATGTGGAGGCGCAGAAGGTGATAATCATCATTTGATCGCCAGTCTCCTGAATGGAGGTGAAGATTCGAGCAACCGATCCGGCAAACATCATGATGCATGTGGCGGCTGACAATTGGCCGGTAGATCCAGCCTTGAAGTTAGTGTACGCCTGCGACAGCTTGCCCACCAACAGAATGGGAATGTTGCAGCTCTGGATGGTGATCAATGCTTTCATTGGTGTCAAGCCAGAGTTGAGCACGTACAGAAGTACTGCATATGCCAGGAGGAATATCACTGACTGAGCCTTGCGACCGCTGAAATACAAGACCAAGACCGCAATCGTCACTGTTTGAATCGCCAGGAAGGTATTATCGCCCCAGGCGCTGAAGGGGTAACCATTCATAAAGCTGTAGGACATGTGAAACGAGATAGCCAGCAGATCCAGCATAACGCCCACTATGTTGATGCCTTCGCCGGACTTGTTATTGAGGATTTTCAGAACCTGGGGGACCTTCACGAGCACCGACCCGGCAATGATAGCCAGTCCAAGTCCCTTGCTCAGCAAAGCCTTGAAACATGGAACTGAAAGATAATTGATTTAAAAAGATACTCCTCCAGTTATGGCGACAGCACACTCACTGTCCAAGAAGTCGTGCTCCAGGAAGTAGTTATCGTAACACTTCTCGCTCATTAGGAACAGAGCTCCTTTCCTGATAATATCAGTCATTTTAATATATATTTTTTTTTAATTTGCTCGTTTATCACGGACGATACGAAGCACTTTGGTGCGGTGAGTGGTAGGTAGCTGTGGATGGAACCCGTCTTATCAAGCCGCTAGTCGAAAAATGAAATGGAAAGCCAGCCCACACGTAACAACACAACACGCAACGAATGAAGTAAATGTACCCGGTTGGGAATCGAACGAAATCGGCGCTGATAAGATATTACTTCCCGCAGAACTAATGATGATGCGCTACGTGGTTCTAGTGACTAAACAACCCTGTTGCACCGTGGTACCGAAATGCACTAAAATTGGCCAGACGCTTACAGACATATAACTTTAAAATACACTGAATAGTCAAACAGTTGACGAAAATGTCTGATTTACTAGTAACTACTAAATCAATATAATTGATAAATAAAAAATATGTAATTAAGTGAACAAGGCAGCTCCTTGTAGCTTTTCTTTTCTTTTATATATATACACCAATACATTTTAGACGTCATTAAGGCTAAAGGCAGCATAACCAAACTTAAATTACCTTATTAAGCTGTGTTTTTAGAATATTATTTTATGACTGCGAATAATTTTCGTGAAATTTAAGTTTAACTCTCCAACTGCTACATAAGTAGAATTATGTATTAGTTGTAAAATAAACCCATATGGACTTAGTCCCTTAATATTTAATGAGCTGGCGGTGCCTGTATTAGGTGTTTTTTATATTATTGTATTCGACTGCAGACGGAAGCAATTCTCACACGTCTTGAACCACTGTGCGCGTTCAGCCCAAGCAAGTCTGGCCACTTTTCAGGGTGGCAACGCTGTGCACAATAGATAAAACAGAACAGAATTGTTTACACTGCGTCTACGCCTACGTCGACGTGAAAACCAACTATTAGGGCTTAGTAAAACAGTTAAGCTTCTTCAATTAACATGTCGAGGTGCGATGGGGCCAGTGAAAGCAAGAAACCACGTACGGACAGCAACAGCAGCTGCAGCAAGGACTTAAATGGATCAGCGGACGGCACCGGAGATGGAGGCGGATCTCGTGATAAAGTCGCGCTGATAACCGGCATAACGGGCCAGGTGTGTGACCAATTGTTAAATTATTAGTGTGAAGTCAGCAACCAAGCAGCCAATGCTTACGTGTTACAACCATTTTTCGCTTTTTATATCTCGCCAGGATGGATCATATTTGGCAGAGTTCCTGCTTAAGAAGGACTATGAAGTACATGGGATTATCAGACGGGCTAGCACTTTCAATACTACACGCATCGAGCACCTCTATGCTGATCCCAAGGCGCACAAGGGCGGAAAGATGAAACTCCACTATGGGGACATGACGGACAGCAGCAGCCTGGTGAAGATTATCAACATGGTAAAGCCGACAGAGATATATAACTTGGCAGCACAATCCCACGTGAAAATATCCTTCGATTTGAGCGAATATACTGCCGAAGTGGATGCCGTAGGCACTCTACGCATCCTCGATGCCATACGCACCTGTGGTATCGAGAAACTTGTGCGATTCTATCAGGCATCCACATCGGAGCTGTATGGTAAAGTCGTGGAGACGCCACAGAATGAGCAGACCCCGTTCTATCCAAGGTCGCCATATGGTGAGAAATCGAAATAAGTCCATACGAGGGGCAATCTAAACTCTTGTTCCTACAGCCTGCGCCAAGATGTACGGCTTTTGGATAGTCATCAACTACAGGGAGGCCTACAATATGTACGCCTGCAATGGAATCCTCTTCAACCACGAGAGTCCGAGACGCGGGGAGAATTTTGTTACCAGAAAGATCACGCGAAGCGTTGCAAAGATTCTCCTGAACCAAATGGAATACTTTGAGCTCGGAAACTTGGATTCGAAGCGCGATTGGGGACACGCAAGTGACTACGTGGAGGCCATGTGGATGATGTTGCAGCGTGACAGCCCATCGGACTATGTGATTGCCACCGGAGAGACGCACAGTGTGCGGGAGTTTGTTGAGGCCGCCTTCAAGCACATTGGACGCGAGATAACGTGGCAAGGTAGCGGTGTAGAGGAGGTGGGCATAGAACGCAACACCGACACTATTCGCGTTCGCATAAATCCAAAGTATTTCCGTCCCACGGAGGTGGACCTTCTGTTAGGTGATGCATCGAAGGCCAAGCGTGAGCTCAATTGGACGCCAAAGTGGAGTTTCCTGCAGCTCGTCAGCGACATGATGAATGCCGACATTGAGCTCATGAAGAAGAATCCCATTGCATAGACCAGCGCCCACTCCCTCCTGGACTAGGACTGCAGCAAACGGCACAAAGCTCTCTGCCCTTGTCTTTGCAGAGCATTAAACTACACCAACTAATATAGTCTTAGGATATGAAAAGTGATCAGTGTATTGGACTTGTACGTAACTTGTATGTTCTGTGTGTTTTCTGTGGGATTTGAAATCATTCCTTTTACTACTTTGCCGGGTACTTTCTGTTCTGTTTGTGATTATATTTGTTTATGTATTCTTTTTTACCAAATATAACGAATATTCGCATTAAATAAGTTTAAATGAAGAAAAGGGTTGTGGATTTTGACTACGGACACCCCCAAAATAAGTTTTATTCTTTCCAAGTTAAGCACAGATCAAAAACAAACAGTGTGGACGGCCTTAGGTCTCCTTCTTGCCAAAAGGATTGATCTTCGACAGCCAATTGGAGGACGAGGGCGTAGATTCCCTGTAATCAAAGATATGATAAATGAGATAATACGTACATCAAGGACAGCCATTGGTACTAACAGCTTGGTTAATGCTTCAATATCCGCATCCTTGTGCTCGGTAGGAGCTGCCGGTACATCTGTTCTTTCCAGTTTGCCCGCTTCTCTGATGCCCGCTTCCCTGAGCTGTTCAATCAATTTACTACGAAACTCCACCTTGTGCGGCTGTACCTTTTCCGCATCGCGCAGCTGCTGCTGGAGCTTACGTATGGCCTCCAGGTATGTGTGACCATACCAATCGATTTCCTCAGGTGTATATGGCTCCAAGTACCGACTGTATTCCTTAAGGACCTCCTGCTGGCGCTGAGGCTCGTCTGCCAATGCGGGACAGCCTGCGTGAAGTGCCAACAGGAGTTGACGCTTCAGTTTTAGGGCCAATGCCGAACGCAGGTCGCAGGCCAAATTTTTGAGCAGATAATGATCAAAGCCATGGCATTCATGAATCTGCTCCAGCGTGCGCTCCGTAACAGTTACGGAAATGTACTCGTTCAGCACCTGGCTGTGTACTACGGAGCGACGGAGCTGCGGCACCCAAAAGTGTGGAACGCGCCGCTTCGTCTGCTGACGCTTCTGGAAGCCCTTGATCACGGCCTCGCCACCCCAGATCCCTTGGTGCGATTCAGGGGTATCAATGAGCGGCAAAGGGATATTTTGCACCGGCTTAATGACATTTGTGACCTCGTCGCGCTCCCACTCGCTCTCCTTGGGTATATAATGAACAGCGGCTGGCTTCGTTAGCTTCCATTCTCGCCAAAACTTCTTATAGGCATCGGGGAGTTGGGCTCCCAGACCCTTGTCAAAGCGACCTGGACGTCTCCAGCCGTTCAACAGCTTTAAGCCCTACGAAAGTAAAACATTTGTTAGGCATCAAGTTTACGTTTACGGAGCTATTGCGTCACAAAAATGTGGGAGGCAGGCGCGGGTTGGCTGAGCATTGGACATCTTCACTCACCTGCGGTGTGGCGTGCGCCATAGATTAACAGTATAATGACAAGCCGACCCTTTATGTATACTAAAAACTACGATAAACAGTCTTTATGATGAAATTTGTCTATAATTCCCTGACTTTGGCAGACCACGGTTCGCTTCCTCTTCCCGTTTAAAAAAAACAGCTGTTTGCATGATTGTTTCGCTGCGAATGGCAGACATATTATAAACGCGACTGTGTGACAGTGATGCCAATAACGTTTTATGTTCGACTTGGCCTTTTTATCAGAGAATGCAGAATGCATTGCATTGCGTGGACAACCGACAAAATATCTGAAAATGCGGAAAAATGCCCCATATGAAGAAGGAAGAAGAGGCCGAGCATGTTTCTATAACTTTATATGCCCTAATTGAGCTTCAACACTATCAAAAGTAAATCAATAAACAAAAACTGGCATCAGAAAAAAATACATTTTTAACTTGTAGAAAAGGGAAAAGAGCTGAACATTTTCAGATAAAGTCTAATAAGGGATCTTATGGATCTACTAATTTTTTTAGTGAGGTAATATTTGTTTCTTATAGTATATCCATTACCTCATCTACATAGCTCTGCGGCATTGGCTTCAGATTCGCCTTCATGCGTAGATAGAACTATCCAACGAACCAAGTCAACTTTTTCTGAATTATTATCAAATTCCGAATTCCCGCATCCCGAAATTCACAAATTTTTCACGCAGTTGGCTTTCAAAAATAGCCAGATCTGACGGGAAAAAGCAAAGTCGGCAGCCCCGATTCTGATTCACAAGTAAATTAAAAGTAAACAGACAAAGAAATAGCCATGTCGAATCCTTCGAAAGGTAATCCATTAAACGAAGCGACTGCTCCGTCCTACAAATACTGCAATGCCGCGGACTCTGTTGCGATGGTACACAAGACATTACACACCTGATTTGAGAAATGTATACGGTTTCATACGATTTCTTTTCAGCGTGCCCCTCCTCCCACGTATGAGGAGAGTCAGCGGAATAGTGGAGGGCATCAGCCATCCTACCCTGCGGCACCTGGACAAAATCAGTATTATGGCATGATTAGTCATAATCAGCAGGCACCTGGGCCATTCAATACGCAGCCCGGTATGCCCGTTCATAACGGCACTGGCTATGGCCTGGCTGGTCCGAGCACTTCGGCTGGAGCCGCGTCCGCACATGTTCTCCAGTTGGACTCCCGAGCAGAGGTCAGGACCACACCTTCGGGCTCTGTAGTTATTCCACCGCCACCGCCTGGATGCCTGCCCACACCGGCACAGTGGGCGGCCATGCAGGGCCAGGCGGTGGTCTTGAAGCAAAAGAAGCGTTCGTTTTTCTGAATATCCAAAAACTATTCATACGAATGTAATCTGATGTTAATCCTTAATGTTAATAAATAAAACGATACGTATTTCTTTTCGTTCTCGCGTATATTTGACAATTCTCTATGCACATGAACATGGCACCAGTGAATGAGGTGAGGATTAGGTCCCGTCTTCACTGGCTGCGCCTTCCCTCCACATAAATACTACAGACTATTGGGTGGATTACTCGAAAATGTTCTCAAAGTATGTACTATCGAATGTTTGGACACGCACGAAACCGTCTTCACCGCCCGAGGCGTAACTCTTGCCGTCCGGATGGAAGGCCAAACTGTTGATGGGACCGAAATGTCCCTTGAGGCGGGCGAACTCCTCTTCATAGATCAGATGGAAAAATCGCGAATCGAATTTTCCCGCCTTTGTCGATGTTGTGGTCACCTCCATGGCATCCTGGCCTCCGCCCAGCACAACGTGGTCCAAAATTGGGCTTATGGCTGCCGAGTTAACGGGACGTTCCGTCTTGTAGGTTTTCAGGCACATCAGGGACTCAGAGTCGAACAGTTTGGCCGTGGTATCCCTGGAGGCGGTCACGAACATCGTGCCATCCTTGCTCAGCTGCATGTCGTTGATTCCGGCAGTGTGATCGACGCCAGAGTCGACAACCTTCTGGCCCTTCCGCACGTCCCAGATGGCAATATTGCCGTTGTCGTGACCTATACAGAAACGCATATTATATATTTTGCGAACTCACTCAGAAAACCTCTAATCTAACCTGTAATGATGGTCTCATCCAAGGGACCCCACTGCATGGAAGTGATCTTCGATTCAGTCATGGGTATACGCAGAGTGGGCGTCTGGTCGGCCAAAGTGGAATCGGCAGTTCGCACATCGATGATGAACAGCTCACAATTCTGTCCCATGGCTTTGTCCGTGGAGTAGGCAGCCTGGTTGCCAGAGAAACTGAAATTGCTGGTACGCACCGACGACTTGGTGGGGATAGAGGCAATGATAGTGCCATATTCCACGTCCCAGAGTTTGGTTGTCATGTCACCGGCGCCGGTGATCAGCTTCCTGCTTTCCCAGTCCACGTCCAGACACCATACGGCGCCCTGATGGCCATCGTATGTACCCAGGCGTTCGCCGTTCAACGAGTACCATACATTGGGCTTCTGATCCTTCGAGCAGGAGAAGAGCAAATCTCCCTCGCGATTGTATTTGATTTGCGTTATGGAACGCTCGTGGCCTTGCAGCATCAACGGACGCTGTAAAGAGAGAGTATTTTTGCGAATTTTAGCCAACAACGAACCGACCGCCTTTTAAGGTTAGGTTTTCCACCGAATGACAAAAGCCTTGATACCTAAAACATAGGTCGCAATTCTTGCAATACCGCTTGCAAATATTTCTTAGACTTAAAAATCCAAGATGTTTCATCACTTATCACGCACCATTTTGTATTTATTGTTAATTTATTGCGAGAAAACAATAATCTCTGCACTTCCACGCAGCACTACAATTCGAAAAGAGCTGTCAACCTGGCGTAAATGAAAATTAGGGTTGTGTTGTCGAAAAAAATATATCGAAATTTTTCTAAATAAAAATATTTTTATATCGTGATATTTTGTTTTCCAAAATATCAAATTTATATTATTTATATTTTATTTTGTTGCTATAATTTTGACAGCACAGCAATATCTATGTTAAGTTAAAAACAACAAAATTAACATTTTAAATTTGCAAGGTGTTGCCTAACCTAGGTGAACCATCCCTTTTTGTTTAGCGAATTCCATTTGGCAATATTGACCAGAATCGAGGCCACACACTGCTCCTTATCCCTGTTCTGGCCGTAGTAATCGACAAACTCTCCGTCCGGGTTGACTAGATACATGATAATGGTGTGGTCTACAATATAGTCGTTATCCTCGTCGCGTGGACCGGCACTGAAGTAAACGCGGAAGGCCTTGCACACATTTCGGATCTGGTCCACAGTTCCGGTTAGTCCCAACAGCTTTGGTGAAAACTCCTTGACATATTTTCCGACCACTTCCTTGGAGTCACGTTCTGGATCCACTGTGATGAAAATGGGCTGCACTGCCGGCGTCTGTGGAGACTTTTCTGAAATGCCACAAACAGGATGATTCACATTCAGCGTGTTTTAATTTTGTCTTTCTACCCACCGACTTCATCGACGACAGCCGCCATCTTCTCCAGTTCATCGGGACAAATGTCTGGACAATTGGTGAAGCCAAAATATATAAGCAGCCATTTTCCCAGAAATTCCTCAGATTTCCGCACTTCTCCTTGGGAGTCGACCAGGTCCCATCGTCCGCCGATAGCTGCCTTGCCGAGCTGCCTCTTACGCTCCAACATGCGTGCCTCATCCTTCTCGCTCTTCACATAGAGCATAAATCCCAGTCCGCCGGCGCCCAGAACTCCAACCACAGCCAAGCCTTTCCACGATATCGGCCCCTTTCCCTTAACGGGATCTGGGGCCGCAGCCAAATTACGTTGCGGCCGGAGGACTGGCTGGTGGGCCAAGCGTCTGCAGCTGCCCAGCAGACGTTGCAAGGAGCGTGACATCTTATCTGGCTATTTCAGGAATTTTCAACTTTTACGTAAATCGGCTGGAGAATAAAATCTCGCCGGTCCGCTTCTTATTCTTATTAAACTGACATTCTCAAGGGAATCGCAGCTGTTTGTAAATTGGTGCTGCCAACCTGGGGCAATCTTGGCATTATTTTCGACTCACAACACGTGCAGGAACGGAACTAAATAATATTATTAGCTAAAATGTCCAGTCCCAAGAGAAATGAGCCGTTGCTGTACATGGAGGAGCATAGAGTCAAAGAGGATCCGCAGGACTATGGACTGGCCGACGATGTGTTTAACATGGAAATCTTTAAAAAGAAACTGCAAGTGGCAATCATCCGGTAAGAATAGACAGTACATTCGATTTCTGGTTCCCCCTGACAGAATATGTATTTTGTTTTTGCAGAAACGATGAGGACGGCTTGGAGTTTGACATGATGGGCGTGTATCCGGCCATAGCCAACGCCTTTCGCCGCTTAATGCTCAGCGAGGTGCCCAGCATGGCCATAGAGAAGGTTTACATCTATAACAACACCTCCATTATACAAGACGAAGTGCTGGCGCATCGTATGGGACTTCTGCCCTTGAAGGCCGACCCCCGGCTATTTGCCTATCGCACTGAAGAGAGCAGCGAGGCTGGAACCGAGCAGGATACTCTAGAGTACGAGCTCAAAGTCAAGTGTACCCGCCGCAAAGATGCCAGCAAAGATCAGTCGAATTTCGATGACATCTACAAAAACCACAAGGTCTATTCGGGTCATTTAAAATGGCTGCCCAAGGGGAAGCAGGCACAAATTTACAGCGAGAGCATGGTCAATTGCATCCACGAGGACATACTCATCGCTCAACTGCGACCAGGACACGAGCTGGACTTGCGTTTGGTAGCTGTCAAGGGACTGGGCAAAGATCATGCCAAGTTCTCGCCGGTGGCAACCGCCTATTATCGCCTATTGCCACAGATCAAGCTGAATCGCGAGGTTTTTGGCAAGGATGCATACTTGCTGCAGAGCTGCTTCTCGCCCGGTGTAATTGGAATCGATGAGAATGAGTGTGCCTATGTGAAAGACGCCCGCTATGATAGCTGCAGTCGCAACGTCTACCGCTATCCCCAGCTTGCGGACTCTGTGAGCCTGGGGCGTGTGAGAGATCATTATATATTCACTGTCGAGTCTGTAGGATCTCTGAAACCAGACGTGATCTTCCTGGAAGCTGTCAAAGTTCTCAAAAAGAAATGCCGCGCTTTTATAGACGAAATAGAAGCGGAATAGTTTTATTATTTAGGCATTCCAGTGTTAATTATTCTACGTACATAAGAAACAACGATATAAACATATGTAATCTTAAGTACTGCGTTTGGCCTCCCTATTGCGCTTCAGTAAGGTAAGACGGAACTCCGTGAGGACCACCTGCAGGCGCTCTTGGCACATTAAAGCATCCTCCAGATCCATGTGGTTCAACTGCAGCGACACACTCTTGCCAAACAAATCGAATTCGGTGATTATGTTTTCCTCGGCTATGGACACTTCCTGTATATCTTCCAGTCGCATCCCGTTATCCTCATCGTGCTTCATGTGCATTATCTCGGCTTCCATCTCCTCGACGTCCTGCTCGTCGGTGTGTTGCAGCTCCGTGCCGTCGACTTGTTCCCCTTCGGAGAGGTATTTCCTCTCCATCGACTCGTTTCCCAGCAAATCGTCTAATATGGAATCGTCGTTAGACGCTATTTCTTGATCCTCCATGGGTTCCATTTTTGAAATGAGCTTGATTTTCGGCTTTGATTTGGCCCTGGGTTTGGCCTTTGGCTTCGATTCGAAGGTAATGCCTTGTTCGGATTTAATCATATTCTAAGGGAATTTTTGGGTTTATTTGCTTGTCTTTTTTGTCGATGTTTGTGTTTGCGTATGCTCACCATTGATAGGAATGCGTTGCACTTAATGCTCTCCTGGTGCTTCCTCGTGTTGTGATGCTGCTTGACGGAGGCCAATCTGGCCAACATATCCGCATCGCATATTTGACAATGAGCGGAATAACCGTCATTGCTTGGACTCAACCATTGCGAAAACTCTGGATTTCTTTCCCATTCGGTGCGATATCTTTGGTGGTACAGTCTCTTCACTTTGCCACCACGAATGGGCGTCGTTTCGCCCCGTTCGACTTTCATTTCTTTCATCATTATTATCTAATTGTGTCAATGAAATAAAATTCAAATAATCTGTGATATTTCTTTGAAGTATCAGCGTCGCGGCGCCAAAAATGCAACACAGAACCAATATCTTTTTGGTGTAATTTTCTGGTATATGGTATATTTGTGAAAAATAAACTGGAATGAAAAATGTATCAATGTGCCTGTATATTGATAGGTAAAAATACCACATTTTCTTCAGCATATGCCATGCGTGGGACGGTCACACTTAGAGACTGCAGAAAATCGATAGACAAGCAAGTGGTGCGGCAGTAGCGATAGCCTGGCAACTGAAAAAAAGTAAATATTCGCCCAAATTGAGTTAAAAATCACATTGCAAGCTGGTTATAGGAGGTTAAAGTAGAATGGGCATAGCAAAGGAGACACTGAGTGACTACAAGGAGCTCTACGAGAAGGCAAACAAGCTGGTGGAGGAGGACAGTCGTGGCGATCCGCCCACAGATCCATTCCGTTCACACTACAAGGCGCGCGATGTGCTTAAAGATTTGAAAAAGCAGCTGGACGATCAGATCGTGTCCATCCGGGCGAGCGAGGAGGATGGCGGCAGCGATGACCTGTGCTACAAGTCCATGCTGGCATTCATCTGTCGAGATCTGGGGCGCATCCACGTGTACACGGAGGAGCTTTCTGAGGGTGAAAACCTGCTGAAACGCTGCATTGAACTCACAGATCCAGTAAAGCAGTGTGCCGAAGGTATTATACCCTATCTAGGAGCGATCAACGAGCTCAGCCTTGTCTTTGCCACGCGGCAGGAGTACAGAAAGGCTGCGGACATGCTGATTAAGGCGGAGAAGAACTACGAGGAGTTCAAGGACAGTGGCATTGTAGCCTTGGCCATAACGGATCTGTTCAGTCCGCCGGATGAAGGGACAGCAGCCTGTGGTCCGACAGAGCTGGAAAAGCTGTATACCCTGTGTTGCTTCTATTTGGCCCAGATGTATGGTCATTTGGGCGAACCAGAGAAGTCGGCCAGTTGCTGTCATCGCACACTGCGTCGGCAACTCCAGTACAAGTCGTATGACGCCATTGACTTTGCCTTGAACACGGCCACTCTCTCGCAGTTTTACATTGGAGAGGAGCGCTTCAAGGAGGCACGGCATCACCTGGCCGCGGCCACGCTTGTCATGGCTGAATACGAGATCACCATGCTGACGCCGGAGATGAGCGAGCAGCAGCGCCAGGACGCCATCGAGACCTTCAAACATCGCTATGCCGATGTGGCCCGCTGCTGGGCCAAGTACGGCTTGTATTTACTGCAGACATCAAAGAGTCGGTTGCTAAAAGACGACGATGAAGATGAAGAGGCTCAAAAACTGGACAAGGCCGCACAGCTTCTGCGGCTGACAGAGGAGGATTTCCGGTTCCCGGACCTGGATTTGACAGCCTGCGAGAGCCGTATTAGCTGTGATTATTGCCTGACCTTCGACGATGCCAAGCTTGTGTTTCACTTCGTGAACGAGTGGCTGGACATAGCAAAAGACTACTATAAGGCAGAGACAGAGGCTACAGAGTATTCCAAGATTATGCAGGACTACGCGGAGGCCTACGAGCACATTGCATTTTTCGAGGAGAATCCCGATAGTCAGGCTAAGATGCAGAAAAGGCGCGCCAAGTATCTAGAGGACCTCATCGATCTGCTCGACCCCATCTTCTACATGAAGATCTGCAGGGAGTGCTGGTACGGAGCCGGCACGGCACACGCTGCTGTCCTGGACGTCCGTCTAGACATCATCAGGGAGAAGCCGACCCCTTCGCCAGACGAAATCAAGAAGGTCAATCAGAGCTGCATGAAGGCCATTAAACACTTTGAGAGCTATGTGAAGTCCTACCTGGCCGCGCCCAACAGCGAGGAGTGGCGCACCAGCATGGATGTGGAAGAGCAGCGCACCATGCTGTACGCCCATTTCCACATTGGCAGAATCTACTACAAGCTGATCAGCGCCCATCCTCTCCAGCAGCTGGAGCACCTCAACAGCTGCCACACCTACTACAAGCGCTTCATCTCCGGCTGTGAGCAGTACAAGGAGGCGGCCGAGCCGCTGCATGGCGAGATTGGTGTGGTGCGCGAAATGCTGGAGCTGCTTCCCCTCAAGATGAACACGGTCAAGGCGAGGTTGTCGTAAAAATACGATTTCAAGACAAGTATCATAATAATGAACTACATTTCCGAAAGCTTTATACATAGTCCAATAATAAAACGCTTGCACTTAAAAGGGTAGCCCACTTCCCGACGATTTCTTGCTGGCGATGCGCACTGACATGGGTGACTCGCAGCTGGAGGGCTTGTACTGCCGCCGCTTGATCAGGTCCCGCTGGATATTGCTGCCCAGCTTGCGGACGGGAACAGCCGTGATGCCGTCCAGCAGATTCTCCTGGGCATGCTGCAGGGTACTTGTGATCAGTTTCTCCACGCTGATGGCACGCGGATCCACCATCGGCTCACGCTCCAGTATGTCCACAATAATGCGCAGCGTCTCGTCCGCCAGGAACTCTTCCAGTGGCAGCACCTCGATCAGCTCCTTAAACATGTGAGCCACAATGAAATGAGTACGATTAACCACGTCCGCATCCCCCATATGAACGTGAGCGCACAGCGAATCCTTGGCATGATCAAAAATGCCCGAGATCAGCTCCTCGGTGTTCACATCGCTCCGCTCGTAGTCGAAGACGGCCACCACCTCGCTGAACAGTTTTCGCAGGTCATCGGCGCTGATGTGGATGAAATACTTTTTGGGTACAATCGTCTGCAGGTGATCCGTGATGCACTCTGCAATCCGATCAGTGTACCTTCCCTGAAATCGGAATTGCATTTTGAATTTGTATCTTGAGTCGAGGGGCAGATCTTACCTGAAAACTGTAGGCCGCCTGACAGAGGTACAGGGAGGCTCGTTGCGAGAATTTCCTCACATTCTCTGGGGTTGTACTCCGGCCAAAAAAGCGATTGAAGCTCTTCTGCACGATGGTGTGCACCCGGTCCATTATGAAATCATCTGGCATGGGGGGCAGCATATAGGCATCCACATTTAGTATGGCTGGACACACGTGAGCATCGTCGTTGGGCAGAAGCTCGCTGGTCACCTGCGGCTCCTGAGAGGGATCCATCTCATTGTTGATCTGCAGCGGCTTTGATTTAAGCCGCAGGGCACAGATCTCTCGCTCCAGGCACTGTTTGGTGGAGGGAATGGAAGCAGAGGGGAGGGGACTGGCAATGATGCTATGAGTATAGGAATACCACGGAATACCTCAATCTGCTGCAGCAGCGACTTCTCAATGCCCATCAGCTTCTCGATGTCGTAGGATAGATTGAGCACTTGAGGCCTTGTCCATTTGGCGTAGTTTCGCTCTTGGATGTCCAGAATAATGACCAGGATGTTCTTCTCCTCACGTAGAACAGTGAGTATGTTGAGCTTCTCGGTGTTGTTCTGCGTCTCCTGGATTAGCTCTTCCTCGCAGCGGCAGAGCTCTCGCTGCGGAGAAAATGGATATACAGTTGCGGCGAAATTAATAGCACTGTTTGGCAACACAGTCTTTATTGTTTCAAAACATGATCTCCAACTTACATATTTTGCCCTCTTCTGTAATATCAATTAAGTTTACAAGTCTCCTCTATGATAGAAGCGGGCTTACTCTCAGTTCCTAACGATTCTTATTACCTTAGGCAATTTTCCCAATAAAGAAGCGAAATAGGACAGCAACAAATATAGCACTAAAATTTGTTCTTTATAAAAACTTGTACCTTTCCGAGCTTTTTTATATTATGTGTTCCTGATTAAATTAATAAAAATGTGTGACAAATGGTAAAGTTTTGAATGTAGGCCGAGATGAGTAGATCACTTCCGCATACTTAGAATTTGCAATACACCCACAAAATCTTTTTTATAAATTCAAAAACCGCAATTTGGTGACTGCTTGCACTCTTATAATCTTTACTGCAGCGCGGATATCTAAAAAAAGTAGTAGGTTGATAAGAATATTCTATTACCTTTTACAGGAATTTTGGTTCGAGGTGATACAATAGATATATCTGAAGATATAGCGACTCAAAGTTGAAGTTTTCTATAATTTTAAATGTTTCTTTAACTTTGGCATTTAAAAAACATTTTTTCTTTTTTATGGTATGGTATTATTTTTAGACATGAACTTTTTAGTGACATTTATTCTTAATCGGTAGCTTAAGTCGATTGTAGCAAGAAAGTTACAAAACACAAGAAGTTATTGCTCTTGGTAAGCACCTTAGGGAAGAAAAAAGCAAAAGGATCTCCAATTGCAGAAGGAGACACATATCTTAATGTGAAACAATTTGTTGGTTGCTGAACTAAAATGATTTGCAATGCTTTAAAACATGCAAACCAACAAGAAATAAGTGGAATAAAGGCCGCGATATCGCCATTTCTGGTCAAACTACTGCTTGATGAGAACAAGAAGGACCTTTATAAACCGTCCACAGAGCTAAAAAAAAGGGTCTTCAAAAATCGCCAAGACTCATGTGATATCACACTGCTACAAGTGTATTTCAAAATTTCGCCCCGCCTCCTTCCGCCTCCATAGAGGACGAAAATCTGTGGCAGACACAATTTTAAAGATACGATAAAACTAAAAACCATATCTACCAGATTGCCGAATCTGAATCAGATCGGATCATAATTATAGCCAGAATGAAGAAATTCATTTTCAGTTGCTTCCCCCGTCTCCCCCTGCATGAAACACGCTACTGATTCTCTTTCTCGCTCGCACACTCTGCCGCTTCAGTGCGCGAGCAACCCCTAGCGAAGGAGATGTAGTATATATATGGTACATGTACAATCTACATGTTAGATGTAGAATATACATTGTAGATGTAGATATCAGATGTAGCAAAAAAATATATTAGAAAACAATGATGCTGCCTTATATGGAATAGGAAATGCGTTTTTTTTGTGTCTGCCATCAAGACAATGATCCAAAAAAGACCATCAAGGAAGCTCGAAAGTGGTTCGAGAACAGTGTATTTAATGTAATGTATTGGCTTGTGTAGTCCCAGATATGAACATCATAAAAAATCTTTGAGCTAAAGCTAAAAAATATATTTCTAATACGAAACCAATTTTGGAAACCTCTCGTATTCAAGGGATGTGAGATATTCGACTCAAAACTCACCTGTCTTTCCAAGAGCTCAAGTTCGAGAGCCCTTAGCTCATCCTCTGCGGTGGTCTCCAGATCGAAGACGTAGCGCCTCAGCACCTCCTCCTCCAGCTCATCGAGATTGACAATCAGGCCGAACTTCTTTATCATGGCCTGCCTGATCTCCTCCTCAAGTCGCGTAATCTCATACCTCATGAACTTGATGTCTGTGTTCATGCGTCGCAGGTGAACAATGTTGATGCGGTGCCAGCGGCGCGTGGCCAAGGTCTCCTCGTTCAGCTTGTCTGCCCGTCGACGTAGGTCTAACAGCATGTCAGCATCGAAGAGTATGGCTTTGGACAAGTCGCGGTAGTCGTCACCCTCGTAGAAGTGCTGCAACTGATCCATGCGCAGGATGGCACTCAGCTTGACCTTATTGATCTCCTGCTGCCGTTGTCGCTGAAAAAGATATGAAAGAGGGGGAGAGTGTGAGAGATTTCCAAATATATCTAATTCTTTTCTGAGACCTCCAGACACGGAAATGGCTGAGAACCTACCCTGAATTCCAGGAGGGCATTCTTTTCCCGCTGGTATACTTCCTCGTGGTACTTCATCTTGATCTGCATCTCGGCGATCTGTTTGCGCTTCAAGTCCACATCACGCTGCAGATCCAGTACTGCGCGCTCAAGCTCGTGGCGATCGGCCCGCATGACGAAGGCCAGCTCGTAGAGTGGACGTTCCAGGCCAGTGGGACAGGTGGTCTCGTCCAGCCGAATGGTGGTCATGTCCAGCGAGTCCAGACTCTTCGTGTCGGCCTCCTCGTCCTCGCTGGAGGACGACGACTCCGAGGAAGACGATGAGGACTCGTCGTCGCCTCTTATCCGTTTGGGCGGACGCCATTTCTTCTTGAAGATGCGCCGCAGGAAATCAAAGAACTTGTGGCCCTTGACAGTGCTTATGAAAGTCAACTGGAGGGCGGCAATCTGCTCTGCCAGCTTGTCGATGTTTTTGCGCAGCTCGTCCAGCTGCCGGTTGGTGGCATTAATCACCAGCTGGAGCTCATTGCGGGTGTTCATGGCTGATTTGGCGTTCTGTAGCAGCTGGTTCTCGATCTCCTCGCTGTCGCGCAGGATGTAGAGCTCCTGGTTAAGGCTGATCAAGAAGGAGGCCATGAACTCGGCGTCCATCTTGACGTGGAAGCGCTTGACGTGCAACTTCTCGAGTTCCTTGTCGAACAATCGGACCTCCTCCTCGATCTCCGCCCGGATAAAAGACTGCTCGAACAGGAGCTCCCTCAGCCAGCGGTTGCGCAGTTCCAGCATCATCGGAGAATTGCCCTCCTCGTTCCTCTCAAAGTAGGCGGCATCGCTGGGCGGGGGTAGCTGCTGCAACTCCTCGCTTAGCTCGCTATTCGACAAGGTATGCCCCACCATGGATATCTGCAGCGCTTCGTATATAATTGATTCTTTCAGCTCTGTGCTATTCATGTCGGCCCCCATGTGAAAGCTAGAGGACAAGAGCGATGTCTCCGGTTTCAGGGAGGCCATCACCTCCTCCACGTTGCGCTCCAAGTGCAGGATATCGTCTATGTTCACCCCGCAGCCCGGCTGGAAGTGCTCGATTAGATTCAACTCCGGATACTCCGAGTCCATGTCCACTTCGTGGATGGGTTCCAGTTGAAGGCGATCCTTCGCCGGCATATACTGATGGATGACATCGAGGCGCTCCCTCTTCTTGCGGATGGACTCCATCAGCTCCTTCTTGCGGTCCCTCATCGCCATCACCAGCTGGTTGAACCTGTCCACCAGCTCAAAGTGCCGCTCCCGACACTCTACTATTTCTATGTACTTGTAGGTCAGCGTCTCGGTCGACTTGGGCTCGTAGTCTGCCCCGATCTTAAGCTTGTAGTCACCCAGGTTGCGCATCGCCTCCTCGATCTGGGCATCGTCATCAGGATGGTTCCGGTTCGGGTCGGGTTTCTGCCGCTCCAACTTGTCCCAGTCGAAGATGCGCCGAATTTCGTATAGCTGCCGCTTGCGATAGCGCAGCAGAAGGCGCATCATTTTCTTGCTAAAGCGCGGCGTTATGCTACGGGGATCGCGTCCAAAGAAGAAGCTCTCCGGCGGTGGCTCCCCGATTGAATCGTCCTTCTCTTCAGCCGCGACCAGATCTTGAAGACTATTGGCAAAGTGATGTCAATCAGGTGTTATACTCGTACATTAGTGAACAGAGGAAGAAACCTAAGCGAAATGTGCGAAGCTGTGTTTCATACATAAATCTACTAATCTTAAAGGTGCTTGAATCAGTTACATGCAATAAAAAAACAAAATATGGAACTGAGATACCGGTGATCATCAAAGATACACAAAAAAGAACTGACAAGTGCAAGTGGTCTAGAGTCTAGACTCTGTAGGATATCAGGCTTACACTTCCGGCTGTTCTGCGATGCGATCCTGTCTGTGTAGGCTGCATGTCGAAGATGGCAAGAGATTCATGTTTGTGTAGCCGAATGTCAAGTGTGGCAGGTACGATACTCGCGTAGGAGTGCCTTCGTGGGCTTACTCATACTTACTCCAGATCATGCTCCTGCTTTAGCCGCTCTTCGATGTCCCGCTTGATCTGCTCAAACTCCTCGCCGAGGGCTTGCAGGCGAAAGGTGGAAATTCCCGAAATACGTGAGCTGTCACGGGAGAAACAATGAGATCACGTCACGCCATTCCAGAGTAGATCTGGTTTGGTTTAACTCACCGCAAGGAGGAGACTGTGAAGGGGACATGGTCGAGCTCCTTTAGGAAGTGAGTGTACAACTTTGAGTGCCCCACCTGAGCGAACTCCAAGTCGTAGGCAAGATCCTCGCGCACATCGTCAAGCTCTGCCTGAAGCTCCCCCCGTATCTGCTGCGTAATGCGATCGTCTAGGAGCAAATCAGTGTCCTTGGCCCGCAGTCCGCGTGGGACATCCTCGTTGCGTCTGATAATTTCAAAGTATTCACTCTGCAAGGATCCAATCTTGGCCAGAACAGCGCGGTCATGCGCCTCAGCCGCCTCCTGTTGGCGCTTAAGCTCGGCATTGATTTTCTCCTGCTCTAGAGATGGTGTCTCTGGATCGATGATGTCCTCGGGCTCCTCCACTTCCGCTGGCAGTGGAGGCAGATCCGCCAACAGTTCGTTTTTCACAATCCGATTTTCCCCGTTCCACTTGTAGAGAAAGATATTGCCGTCGTGGCCAATGGTCAGCATGTGCTCGCCGTTGTAGCTTGTCTGGATGCTGGGAATGATGCCCTTCAGAGCATCGTGCATGGGATACATGCGGTACTCGGTGAGGTCGGTAAAATTTTCAGGATTCATCCGATTGATGCGCAGTCGTCCGTTGATCAGCCCAAAGATAAGGTACTCATCGCTGTGGGCGTACAGATTGGAGAATTAGGAGCAGTTCCCGCAGTTATCCTGCGATGATGATAAACTCACATAATGCAGTACGAATGGATCTCCAGGTCATCCGCATCCTCTATCATGGTGCTGTAGGTGGGTTCGGCGCCCTCGAACTCGAGCTCGTATATGTAGCCCGCATCGTAGCCCGCCATGGACACCCAGATGGTGTCGCGAACCGTGTAGCGCAGCCATATGATGGTGTTGGGAACACTGGGTATGTGAAGCGGCTCCTCCTCCTCGTCCGGCTCTGAGTCGGCTAACGCCGATTCCATATCGATCTGCAGCCCCGGATTGGCCTTCTTCAGCTTCTCGATTTCCGACATTTTTCTCTCCCGCTTGCGCTCCTTCCGCTTCTTAATCTTCTCCCGGCGGATATCCCGTCGGATGCGGCTCTTTACAGACACGAAGCGGGTGCTGCGCAGACGCGACGGCTCCGTGATATTGTAGCTCAGATAGGTCTCTTCTTCTGTGACCGCTGTGCGTATGTCATACTCGAACACCTCGCCCGTCTTGCAGCCAATGAGCACCACGTTCGGCTCCACCTTGTGCCAGTAGAAGCAATTGGGAACCGCCGCGAGCTCCACGAATCCCAGCGGCATAAGGCTCACCAAATTCCACTCATCCCGGCCCAGCTGGTAGATGAAGATGCTCTTGTCGGCGGCCCCGCTCAGAAGAAGAGAGCTGCTCCGATTGATTGTCAGCCGAGTGATGGGCGAGGTGTGGGCCTTAAGTGCGCGCACCCGGTTCAGAGTTGGCTGGTTGGGTTTGCTCAGGTCGAGAAAGAGCTGGCGAAGGATGCCGTCCCCGAATCCTGCCACCAGCTCTGTGCCATGCGCAGAGATTTGGGTGTCAAACCAGAGGAAGTCTACGCCTCCGGCAGCGAACTGCTTTTCCAGCAGGAGACGGCGCTTCTCGTAGTCGTACACGAAGATCTTGCCGCACTCTGAGAGGGCGAGGAAATGAGGCGAGACGGGGGACATCTGGGCGGCCAGGACCCGACCGCCAATGCAGGAGTACAGCTGGCGGGGCTTCTGGGGCACGTCGTAGGTGTTGATGTCGCAAAACCATATGCCACCCTTGCCATCCTGGGCGTAGTGAGTGAAGTCCATCTCGTCGAAGGGCAGGATCTTCTGCATGCCGCGCAGCTCCACTTCGGCGATCTTAAACTCGTAGATGGGATCGATTTCCACAAAGAGATCATCTTCCGGAGGATCGGCCAAGTCAACTGTTTCCCAGTACCAGACACGCACGTACCCATCCATACCCACCGTGGTCACCTCGCCGTTCTTCATCGTTATTCGGGTGATCGGCCTGGTGTGGCAAGGCTTGCGACCCTTGCGGCACACCTCAAACTTGATCAGACCCGCCTGCCACAGCAGCATGTTGCCCCAGTCGCAGCCGGAGATCACGTTCTCGTCTGGCAGCATATACATGGCGTATATGTCACTGAAGTCCGTCTTTCCGAAACGGCCCAGGTCGCCCTTAAGCTTCAGGCCCGTGAATGTGTTGGCCATCTTCCAGAACTTGATGTGGCTCAGACCGGAGGAGCAGAGCAGGATGGGATTGTACACGGAAAAGTGCACGAACAGGATGTCGCTCTGAAAGGACTTGGCCCGCAGTATTACTTCAGCCTTTTCCCAGCGCCAGATGGTGATGATGAAGTCCGGATATCCCGCCTGAGAAGCGAACAGATCGCCCGTGGAATTGTAAGATCCTGCCGTGAAGCAGGCCTTGGCCGCATTCAACAGCTTGACGCGCACATTCTGCGAGGGATGCTCGTATATGTATATCGTGGGCTTGGGTCCATTCTCGCCCACTGTGTAGAGATTCTGGTAGTCGGGATGCTCATTTTTCTGCAAGCCAAACAAATATATTATCAATATCAATATTTAAATGGAATGGAACTCACAGTTATGAAGCCAATGCCGCACCCTGAGACAGTCTCCTGGAAGGTTACCTCCTTGCGTGAGATGCTGAAGGTGTGTAGATAATTTCCGGACGCAAATATCAGGGTGTCCGGGTCGACCAGCACAAGGTTGAATAGCCGCTTGCAGTTGTATCCGAAGGAGTGCCTGGCAGAGGGAAAGATGTCATTAATTATATGTGTTTTATGCGGAAACCTCCTACTCACTCCAAGGTGATGATGTCCTGCCGGAAGGATACATCCTGCTCGTCCAGCAGTCCCTCCTCCTCGCCCAAAAGATCGAAGTCTCCTTCATCCACCTGTGAACTATCCATTTTCTTATAGCTGACAGAACTTTATTTTTGATAAACTTTAAAATGTTTGCTTCAACATTTTTGTTTTTGTTTGCCTGTTGCCTGGGGCGTTTAGGAAAAACTCTAAGCGACGTGGAGCATGCGCAGATCCGTAGCAACTGTTCATACAATATTCTAGACTATAATTTATTTGTATAATTCAACAGTCGACAAACAAAAAAGCACTCCTAAACACTAAATATCTAAATCCATTAAAGCTTCATCATCGTCATCATCTTTAAAGAAATCCGCAAACCCCGATTCTGCATTGCCTTCTTTCGGTTTATCCACATGATTTTTTTTGGGTTTCGCTGTGAGTTATCATTGGAGCTGGCGATAAGAACTGTTTGATGGTGCCCTTTACGGGCACCGTCGATTTGGCAGGCGAAAAGTATTGCTCAATTTTGTTGGACTATAAATGTTACAAATTATATCTTTCAGTATTCAATCAAATGTGCAGTAAATTCACCGAGGTGGGGGCCGATGTGTGGGTGCCCTGCTGCAGGTTCTCGGCAAATATTCCCACTTTGCTTAGAACCTTCTGTTTGTTTATTAGCATCTTCCAAATGGTGTCGTCGGCCGTTTGGTTGGCCAATAGGTAACGACAAATCACCGTCTTTGTCTGGCCAATACGATGGGCTCGACTTTCGGCCTGGGCAAGCGTCTGAAAAATCATTCAAAAATTAGCGATTAGGGATTCGTTAGATAACCAGCGATCATAACCTACACTTGGGTTCCAGTCCAGCTCGGCAAAGACTATAAGTTCGGCTGCGGTCAGGGTAATGCCAGCATTGCAGGCCTTCAGTGAGAGCACAGCCACCTGGCAGCTGCTTATATTCTGGAACGTGGATACCAAGTCTGCCCTGAGATCGCTGCGCGTTTGCCCATCGATGCGGATGTGGTGCACATTGAGCGCACTGAGGCAATCGCTAATGGCGTCCATCATGACGCGATGATGGGCAAACACAATAAATTTCTTTTGCTCCTTGACAAGCGATTTGAGGTAGGCACTAAAAACAGAGAAGCTGTAAAAATCCTTAATGCTTGAAATTCCAAGAGACGTTACCAAACAGCCCCGGCTTTGACCTCCGCGGTGCGTGCATAGAAACGCAGTAGAATCTCTTCCATGACTTTGCCTTTGCTGCTTTGAAGCTCCTTGTGCATGGCATTGAAATTGGTCTTTGTTTCGTCGTTGGTCAAAATTAAAGACGCGTCTAGGACAACAGTTTCACTGAGGATAAGTAAACGGATTTATGGAATAAAACTAAGAACTGTATAGCTCGATAATAGATAATATGATTCTTGACCCACCGATTCTTTTCAGCCAGCTGTGGTAGCACCTCAGATTTCGTGCGTCGCAGCATGTATTTTAGTGTGAGTATAACCTTGAGTTCTTCCAAATTTGATTGTCCATTGGCATCCCAGCCAAACTGTGATTGCTTTCCATCACAGTATCGCGTAGCTGCAGAACAATTCAGGGTTGTACACGGGAAATAGCCAAAGAAAATATGTCTATTGGACTTACAGAACTCCTTAAAACTTAGGAATTTGCTATCAACCATCTGCAGCTGGGTGAAAAGCTCCACAGGACGTGAGAGCGCAGGAGTACCCGACAGCAGGACAACGCGTTTGGCCTGATCCGTGAGCCGCTTGGCCACCGCCGTACACTTAGCCTTGCTATTCTTCAGGGTGTGGGATTCATCAAAGATGATGAAGCCGTACTTGCGCTGATACAACTTTTCAATGTGGCGTTCCATCATGTTGTAGCTGGTGATCAGCACTTGGGCATCGCCCACATACTGCTGATTGTTGTTGAGTACCTGGATGTAGTGGAGTGGTACTTTGGGCAGCAGCTCTGTTATATGCACAGCCCAACTATCGCGCGTGGAGGCCGTGGTGCAAACCAGCAGGGGCCAATCCTCCTTGTAGTAGTCGGCTACAGCCAGAGCTTGATAGGTCTTGCCTAATCCCATTTCATCACAGATCATAATCCGTCCTTTTTGTGCAATCGCGAAACTAAAACGAAATTGACTTTGAATTTTTCTTTGTATAATCTCATGCAATCTACCATACTAACCATACCCCATCCTGTTGAAAGGGCATCAGCCTGTCCGCCAGCTTGGGCTCTATGGACGCCAGCACGCTATGTTCCAAAGACTTGGGCGGCTGCCGACAAAGGTCGAGGATCTTTTTTGGTATAGCGTTCACGGTCACATGTGGCTTTAGGTCCGCAACATGTGTCTGGAACGATTGGTAATCCTTCACATCAAAGTTCCACAGACGAGTGTTGCTGTCGTAGGATCTGGTGGGTATGTTTTTGAACACGGCAATCAGTTTTTCGTGATAGCCCGAAGTTCGGGCTTCGAAACGGTGCGCACTTATCATATAAACAGTACAGGTTATGCTGTTAACGAACACAGCAGCCAATGGCTTTTCCTTCTCCTCAGCGAGGGACAACTTCGGCTCGTGTTTGCTTTGCCTGTCCCCATTTGGACGCTGATATGGATGGGCGTCTGCACGGCCCTGTTCCCGCGCAGAGGTTTGCTTGATAGCTTTGAGGGCATTTAAAAAGGATGAGCTCCTGTTGTCGCTCGCCGCAGCGCTGGACGTGGAAGCAGCTCTGCTGTTATTTTCCGCTGCTGGTGGCGATCTGTAGAAGTTAAATGGAGACTTGGGAGCCAGCTGGGAAGGATGTTTTACTTGTTGCTGTACATTTTTCGACGGCGCTTTAGAGTTGACGAGCTGTGATTTCTTGGCTTGCAGTTTGGCCAGGGCAGCGCGCTTTTTTTCTGCTATTTCAGCAATGCTACAAGTGGACATACTAAAAATATTAAATGACTTAGAACAATAAATAAGAAGAAATTGTAAGCCAAAATCGGTTTAAATCGGTTTGACGGCGGACTTATCGAACTTAACCCACTTAACCCCGCTCTATTTAAACAATTGAACCCCTTGATATAAACCGCGGAAAATAATACTGTTTGTATTTACAAGGAGCAATTGTAGTTTGTAGCTCCATCCTTCCTTTTTAATTACAAGAAAAAAACTATAACGATATCTTTTACCCAAAATGCGAAAAAAATTGCAAAGTTGCAATACATTCGTGCGTAAGTTGAAGTACCCACTGGTCGACAATGGGTTAAGCGTTCTCTCTCCTTGATCGGAAATCATATTCCCCGATTTTGATATTCGGTTTAATATTAAAAAATAGCTAGGACTCTCAGCACTTAGCATATAATTTTATCCGATAGATAAATATATTTTCTACCAGACTTGCGAATACTGAGTACTCTTATTAATTGGTTGTTTATCAAATAAGGTTTAAATAGAAAAGGTCATCAGAAAATAAAAGCATAATAAAAAAAACTATACAATACCACTAACAGCATAGGCAGGCGCTTGGCAGGCGCTTAGTGGCGGGGCTCCAGAGTGGATTGTATAGGAGATGACAGGATAGTATAGGATTGTATAGGAGAGGATTGGTTTGCATAGGAGAGGATTCTATAGGAGAGGATTGGATAGGCGTAGCAGGCCGTTTCCATTGATTAGACTAGCATTCTTCAGCCGGATTCGACAGATCGACCTTCCAGTGCGAGCCTGGCCTCCTGTTCGCTGTGGGCAGGCGTGTGGCAGGCGCAGATTAGTTGTATGTTTTTTATGTAGGGATTGTGTTGTGTTGTTCAGGTTTTTTGAAATTTTTTGTTTTATTTATGTAGTTGTAGGACGAATTCTTCGTCTTTGTATATGACGAGATTCATATCCCGCATCTGCCCACCACGATTCATCTTGTACCGTTGAAAGGTGCTGGTCGTTGCCGCCTCCAACTTAAAAGGAGGGAACTTCCATTTCCTCCACTTGAAGACGGCATCGTTGGATCAGGACGTGATGGGAAGCCACGTCATCCTTGAGGGCGTTCAAACGGTGCTATCGCTGATCGAGAAACGGGGATTCTCGGCCAGATTACTGGCAGTGATCTCGAACGGGTGCCCTGCCAACCTCTTGTGAAAGGTACAGGCCTCGCATGCATACCCACGTCGTAGATACCGTGCTGGACCAGACGTACAATTAAATGTTTCATCCCCATGCTTCGGAGAATCATGAATATCCATCAATAGATAAGGAATACGTGGGACGCATCCAGAGGGAGCTGACCGAGATCCAGCGCATGCTTCAGCGACACTTCAATCGGACGCCTCAGGTGCTGTTCCATCCTATTCACCTGAAGTCTGACAATCTAGAGATCTGTGGAAGCACCTATCCAAGAAGTCCGGGCGTGCTATTGATGACCTTCTTGGTGGGTCGCGGAGCGAATTACCAAAAAAACCAACTCGGAACAGCATTATTTATCCTTTCTTTTTACATGCCCTTGTATTTTGTATATATACTATACATACATAATTTAGCATTCATTTTAAATAAATCTTAAGTACAATCATATCATATAACCAAAGACTCTATAAAACAAAACAAGATGCGTAACGAGGAAGAAAAAAAATGTATGACAGCAGCACAATTTAAAAAAAAAATCTAACTCCACACTTGCGTATGTTGAGTGCGCTATAGAGTCTTTGATATAACCTAAATGGAAACTACTTATCACTTTAAAAAAATAAAATTGAATTGATTTAAATAAATGTAGTGTAGTCGACATTGTATCACCAAAAACGACAGATATCTTAAAAAATCATTAACATAGCTTTAATACAATTATAGTAAATATATGGATTTTTTGAGCCCACAAAACATTTGATACCATCGTCGTCAATCTTGAGTATCCTCTTGACAACAGGAACTTCGTTCCTCTAACTCTTCATGTCAGATTCTTCATGTTCAGCCTAGTACTCAGATCCGAAAAAACTACTCGCGAACAGAATCAGGGTTGATATTCGTATGAAACCGATAAGAAATTTGTTTGGGCCAAAACTGTTTTCTAGACCCTGTACGGAAGGCAGTACCACTAATAGCCTTTTCACACTGGCGACCATCCACCATCCATTTCTGGGTTGGTCCGTAAGGTTTTGCCGTTCCGAAAATTTCCCAGTTATTCCACCATCTATCAGGAATGT